GTAAAGATGTTGCGCAATGTGTTCCAGCAAGCGTGTTAGGCAACATGCTTGGAAATGCCATGAGTGCTGGTGTGCTGAGACTCTTAGCGCACTGCATTTTCAAGGCACGTGGCATCCTTTAAACGCGAAAAGCACTAGACCCAGCAGAGTTCAAGAATCAATGTTTGTCAGCCTCCCAGCAGAGTTCAAACATTAAGACTTGGTCAGCATCTCCAGAAACCAAGCGTGTTTTTTTTCCCATGTTGTATCGCTCACAGGTTTTTGGCTCTCATCCAGGTTTGAACTGACAAAGTGGTTCAGTAACATGGCAGCAGCTCGTCCTGCCAATGCCAAGCCCCAAGGTGTCCTGGCGAAAGCTGACCTGCAGCTGGGCATCCGTGCCTTTCTGCAATGGGACCCCAACCTGAGGGCAAAGAGTGAGCATGAACTTGAGAACGCTCGTGAATGTTTGCTTTTCTGCCGGCAATTTTTTGTCGAAGACAGGACCAGATCCGTGGCGCTTGCCCAGGCAATCTTGTTCCTTACAATCCTGCAGAATTCATTGAACTATCCTGAGGATGAACTGGTAGATGTGCCATGGACCGCTGACTATTACGACAAGAACGCAGAAATCCAGGCCTTGCAAGAGAAAGTGAAAGAATGCGTGGCTTTGAAGTCAAAGGCTGGCCTGGAGAGAAAAATTGATGAGGTGGAAAGCGCTGCTTTGTTCATTGCAAGTGCCATGGGAGCCATTGGGTCAGGAATTCCCCAGGCAGCGCATTTGCAAGGCTCCGCTGTTTGCCTGGACGACTTGTACGTGCACTTGGAGTTTCGCTTTGCAAATTTGGAGACTTAGTCTTGACGCTGCTGTGGCCACTGCCTTTGGCATGATTTTTTGACATGGCTGAGAGACGACTAGATCTTTGGAAGGGTCAGCAAGTTTGAGCTGTCAAAAAGAGTTGTTTGATTGCCGTATGCCTGTAAGGGCTTGAGTTGGGCAAGCTTGCCCGCTCCGCGACCAGCAACTCAAGGAGGTCTTTTTCAACAACCCTCCTGGGAATACAGTGTGCATTGCATAGCTTCATGCAAGGCAGGCCGCCAATGAGGCCTCCTGCTGCAGCTGTCAAGGAAGGCATTGCCTCCTGATAGTAATCTAATGGGAGGCGCCGCTACTTGGTTATAGCAGTTTGTTGGAGGGCGCCACCGTGCAGAGCGGGGAGGGGCTCTGCACTTGAGCACAAACAAAAACAAACATCTACAACCTACATACGATCATATTGCAAGCTAGCTTTGTAGCCATTAGTTTTTTTATGTTGAAATGTACATGTATAAGATTGCTTTCTATTATTTGATTAAATGTACATGATGGTTTGGAAAATTTAAATGGAGAAAAACAAAACATGATATGTGTATGATCGGTGCAAGCACCAATCAGCACACAATCCCCAATTAATTCCACCCCAGAGGAGGAGGAGGAGTAGGAGTAGGAGTAGGAGGAGTCGTAGCTATTATTGGTATTAGTATGAGGAGGAGGAGGAGTAGTAGTAGTAGTAGCAGCAGCAGTAGTAGTGGCAGCAGCAGCAGTAGTAGTTGTTGTTGTTGTGGTGTAATTAGCGCAGTGTAGTGTAGTGTAGGGTAGTGTAATGTAATGTAGTAATTTAGTGTAGTGTAGTGTAGTGTAGTGTACTGTAGTGTAGTGTAGTGTAGTGTAATTAGCGCACTGTAGTCTAATTAGTGTAGTGCAATGTAGCGTGGCACATTTGCATTTGCATTTGTAACAGTAGTGTAGTGTAGGGGTAGTGGTAGTTGTAGTTCTCTATCTATGTCTATGTATCTGTCTATCTGCAAGCTTGAAAACGAAGCAATTTCTGCGAGACTTCTTCAATTTTTGAACTTGACAACATCCAAAAAAAAAGCACTTCTGCGAGACTTCCTTCAAAAAAGGAAGTTGGGTGCAGAGCTGACGGCCTCGTACCAATGCGTTTTGAGATGTTTCCATTCCATCTGTTTACAGTACTGCGCCTGCCACAAAAAAAAGTGAGGCTAGGTCATACGAAGTGCCGCACTTGTCAAGCAAAATCATCTTAGCAAACCTGAAGATCTGATGCTCCAAAATGCAACCCCTCTCAGGAAATCAGCGCCCTGACCTCCTAACATCTCTGATGAAATGTCCCAGGCATGCCATCGGTTTGCTTGACAAGGTGCAGAACCCCTTGCGCCTGCCATGCAAAACCACATCTGAACCTTCAAAAGTGGTCCGAGCATGTGGTGTTTTCAACATTTTGACTTGGAAATATGCTTCGCGCATCTTCGCGCCACAACGGCGTGCACTTTTTCGACATCTCAACTTCCAAAAGTGCTCCGAGAATGGTGTCTTGTGCATTTTGACTTCGAAATGTGCTTCGCGCCACGACGGTGTGCACTTATTCCACATCTCAACTTCCAAAAGTGCTTCGAGAATGGTGTGTTTTGTACATTTTGACTTCGAAATGTGCTTCGCGCCACAACAGAGTGCACTTTTTCGACATCTCAACTTCCAAAAGTGCTCCGAGCATGAGGTGTTTTTCCCCACATTGACGTGTGGGGTTTCTGTTTTTAGTTCTGTATCCGCGCCTCCTCCTTCCCGTCCTTCCCGTCCTCACTCACTCACTCACTCACTCACTCACACTCACTCACACTCACTCACTCACTCACTCACACTCACTCACACTCACTCACACTCACTCACTCTCACTCACTCTCACTCACTCTCACTCACTTTCACTCACTCACTCACTCACGCACTCACTCACTCACTCACGCACTCACTCACACTCACTCACTCACTCACACTCACTCACACTCACTCACACTCACTCACACTCACTCACTCTCACTCTCACTCACTCTCACTCACTTTCACTCACTCACTCACTCACTCACGCACGCACGCACGCACCCACCCACCCACCCACTCACTCACCACTCACTCCCTTCACTCACTCACTCACTCACTCACCTGTGCAGACTTGCCAAGAGGTCGAGGTACGCCCTGGCGTCCTCGGGCTCCGCTTCTTTTGCGTGGGCAGGCGTGGACACTGTGCCATTTTGCCAAGGGGTCGGATGTACGCCCTGGCGTCCCTCGCGGCCTCCGCATTCTTGCGTGGGCAAAGCGTGGGACAATGTGCACTGCCAAGGGGTCGGATGTACGCCCTGGCGTCCCTCGGGCTCCGCCTCTTTTGCGTGGCAGGCGTGGGACAATGTGCACTGCCAAGGGTCGGATGTACGCCCTGGCGTCCCTCGGGCTCCGCCTCTTTTGCGTGGCAGGCGTGGGACAATGTGCACTGCCAAGGGGTCGGATGTACGCCCTGGCGTCCCTCGGGCTCCGCCTCTTTTGCGTGGCAGGCGTGGGACAATGTGCACTGCCAAGGGGTCGGAGGTACGCCCTGGCGTCCCTCGGGCTCCGCCTCTTTTGCGTGGCAGGCGTGGGACAATGTGCACTGCCAAGGGGTCGGATGTACGCCCTGGCGTCCCTCGGGCTCCGCCTCTTTTGCGTGGCAGGCGTGGGACGATGTGCACTGCCAAGGGGTCGGATGTATGCCCTGGCGTCCCTCGGGCTCCGCTTCTTTTGCGTGGCAGGCGTGGGACAATGTGCACTGCCAAGGGGTCGGATGTACGCCCTGGCGTCCCTCGGGCTCCGCCTCTTTTGCGTGGCAGGCGTGGGACAATGTGCACTGCCAAGGGGTCGGATGTACGCCCTGGCGTCCCTCGGGCTCCGCCTCTCTTGCGTGGCAGGCATCGGACAATGTGCATTGCTGGTGGCTTTTGCGTGGCAGGCGTGGGACACTGTGCTCACACTTTTTCCTGCTGCGCTGAAATCACTCATACGCTCACTCACTCACTCACTCACCCACCCACCCACGCACGCACGCACGCACGCACTCACTCACTCACTCATTCACTCACTCGCTCACTCACTCACTCACTCAGTCACTCACTCACTCACTCACTCACATCACTCACTCAATCACCCAATCACTCACTCACTCACTCACTCAATCAGCCAATCACTCACTCACACTCAGTCACCTTCACACCCTCACTCACTCACTCACTCACTCACTCAGTCACTCACTCACTCACTCACTCAATCACCCAATCACTCACTCACACTCAGTCACCTTCACACCCTCACTCACTCACTCACTCACTCACTCACTCACACTCACTCAAATCACTGTCACATCCCTCACTCACACACACCACACTCACATCACTCACTGACACTCTCACTCACTCACCTGTACATGCACATACATACACACACACAAACTCACCCACCATCACCCCTTCATCACTCTTATCCTTCGTCTTCCCTTCTTGCTTTTCTATGCTCAGTCTAAGTCTAGAGAAGTTGGTAACATGTGGGGTTATCCGGTCCTATAATGTAATTTTTGCCTTGGAAATGTGATTCGCGTCACAACGGCGTGCAATTGTTCATCTCTCATCTGGCCAAATGGCTCCGCACCCGCCGCTTTAGCGAGCCTACTTTTCGACCCTCCGGAGCCACGCAAATCTTTGGAAAAACTCAGTGAATCGCGACTTTTCTACCTTTTCGCGCGCCTGCATCTTATTTCTTCTGACTCTTTCTCCTCTCTCTTCTTCTCCTCTTCTCTGACTATTCCCACCTCTGCCTTTCCATCTGTCCATACTGTCGGAAGTTTGACTTCTGAACTTCCTTCGATTTTGTATATATGATATATATATATATTATTTACAAATTGTAAATGTATATGTATATATAAAATAATAATAAACAAAAATAATAATAATACTAATAACAATAATAGTAATATAGAGTATTAATAATAATAATTAAAAAATAATAATGACAATAATGACAATAATGACAATGAAAACAATAAAAACAAAAGTAACAAAACATTTAATACAACAATGATAATAAACATTACAATAAAAAAAAATTACTTTACTTCGTGTAATCCCCACCATGACATTTATACATTTTGTTGCTGGCAAATCTTCTGGCATTCTATCTGGCATATCTTCTGGCATTCTATCTGGCATATCTTCTGGCATTCTATCTGGCATATCTTCTGGCATATTATCTACTCAAATCTTCAGGCATTCTATCTGGCAAACATTCTGGCACTTTATCTGGCATATCTTCTGGCATTCTATCTGACATATCTTCTAACATTCTATCTGGCATATCTTCTAACATTCTATCTGGCATATCTACTGGCACTCTATCTGGCATATCTTATGGCATTTTATCTGGCATATCTTCTCGCATTCTATCTGACATTCTATCTGGCATATCTTCTGGCATTCTATCTGGCTTTTGAGGTCCAGCGGTGCGCACTGAGCTCCGAAGTTGGCGAAGAGCTTGGCCAAGAGTTGGCAAGGCAACAGTGGACGTGGAAGCGGAGGCAGAGGTGGTAGAAGAGGAGGAGGACGCGGAGGAGGAGGAGGAGGAGGAATGAGGAGGAGGAGGAGGACGAGGAGGAGGAGGAGGATGAGGAGAACAGCTCTGATAAAATCTAACAACCCTCACCTGGCAGATGGGGAAAAACAATAATTAATATTCAATATGTATATATATATATGTTAATACATAGTATACACACACATATATATATACATATGCAATATAATATCAAGAATAAATAATTAAATAAATATATAACAAATATATATGTATATATATATATATATGTTGAATTGACATTTTTCCGCAAGACTCCCTCATTATGTAGCAGCAGCATGGTTTTTGTTCACATTCTTCCTGAAGACTCCACGGGCAATTATGAAAATAACCTAGCAATCGTGCCAGCTATCTGACGACTTACAACAAGCGGCATTCCGCGAGGATGAAGATCAAGCAGTTGACGACTGTCAAAATGCGGTCCATGATAAAAAAGCGTTTGGCCTGGGCGATGCAACAAAAAGATGGAGTAATTCGGAGTTTTTCGTAGTCGTGAGTGTTTGTCCAGTGGATGAAGGGAACATCTGCAGGAAAGCGTTGCTTCTTGGATTTTCGGATGTCCTGTAGGATTTCCCTGCAGTCAATCGTTTTTGTTCACGTTGCATAATTTTATGTTGGATTCAGCCAGGGTGAGAAACAGTCATGGAATCCAGCCAGCAACTAACAGCCGGAACATATCCAAGGTGGGGCCGGGCTTCCAAACGATAGGTTGTTTGAAACAATCATAGGTTCCCTACGGTTAATGGTGGATACATCGAGCAAACATAGCTGGGGGGGCATCACCTTGTATGATCATCCTCATTGGCCATATAGCTGTCCGGCAAGGGCGAATCTTACCGAAGCCGAAAAGCATGTAACACCAATAGATCTACCTCCAGTAGAATCACACATGACAAGCAGGAAACCCCCTATAGATTGGCAGTTACATGGGACAATATATATATATATATATACGTGTGTGTGTGTGTCATATTAAGTCATATTAAATGTATATAACATATAACATCCCAAGTCCATTCCCTACTACTTTAGACTTTAGCTAATTTTGTGCGTTACATGTATGTACACACACACACATATATATATATATATACCTGCAAAACCCACCTGTGCCAAAAGTTGGCCCCTTAGCTAAGGGTACAAAATTTCAGCCCCTTAGAATAAAAAACGCCCCTGGCAGTTTTCTTGAGCAAGAAGAATGTCCTTGGAAGATCATTATCCCTTAATCGTATCCAAGTAGTCTTGTTCCAAGTTGTGATTCCGATGCTACAAATGTTGGTGCCTGGTACTAGCACTTAATCAGCGACTGAAGGGCATGTATGACATGCCAGTGTGGGATGAGCAAGTTACCAGAATAGGATGAAAGAGGGCAAAGCTGCGTAAGACAAGAACACCCATGAAGCCAAAGACAGGTGAAGGGGAAGCCATGGCCCCAGTGTCAAAGAATTCAGAACAGGAATCATTCAATTTGATTGTGTGCGTTGTGTGCGCCCATGGTTTGTGACCCGTATCATGCCTGAAAAACCTCGAATTTCGAAATTGAAAGTGGGTGGCTGCTCAATTACGCATAATTTCGCCTTTTCCCCGGCAAATTACGCCTCTTAAAAGCGCAGGATTTTGGCAAAATGGGTGGTAGTAGTTTGTTATACGATAGCTCATGATACCAGTAGAGACAGTAGATGATCTCGGGATTTGTGGTCAGCAATTGATCATGCCATAAACAAAATTGTCATGTGTCTTATTCTGGTTGGTGGTTTCAACCCCTCTGAAAAATATTAGTCAATGGGAAGGATTATCCCATATATATATTGTGGAAAATAACAAATGGTTGAAACCACCAACCAGTATTATTTAATGGTAAGCCTATCATGCCATGATAAACGTGTCATGCCATGACATACCTGTCGCGCGAAGAGAGTATTTGAAATATGATGCATAGTCTGCGCAAGTGCTTCATGCAGTAGCAGCACATGAGCACAGCTTCACCCGGCAACAAAGGTTCTGTGATTAGCTAATTGCTCAGCCTTGCCCCTGAAACATCTTCGAACTTTAGCAGGAAACTAAGGTCAAACCTACTAAAAAACATCTATAATTATAGAACCATCTAAAAGTCAAAAAACGCCCCTTAGATGAAAAGGCAGATCTTGGCTAAGAGGCTAAAAATCCGAGATAACCAAAGGATATGTGAGGGTACATGTTCTCCAAGCCAGCCAGTGAACTGGAACTGCAGGCAAGCGGCCAACCTATCCCAGAGCAAATCCAAAGAAAAGGTTAAGATCGGATGCATGATGGTCTGGGGATGGTTGAAGCCTGAGTCACTTGATTTGTGTCTCTGGATGGAAGGTGCTTTCGGTGTTTTTCACTGCAAACTTGGCCAACTTTCCACTTGGATCTGGGTCAGTTGCAGTTCATCCCTGGCAGCCTCGCTGAGCCGAAACTTTCCGGGCCCGGACCAAGGAACGTATGTAGCTGATGAGTCCTCTCGATAGCATTTGTGTCTCGTCCATGTCCTGCAACAAATGCTTCAAGTAGTAGATCACCGGCCGCAAGTTATCCTGCCGCTGACGTTTTTCGTTTGTTCTGAAACATGGTGAAACGTTTGATCCGTGGGTTTCATCCTTCTTGTAGGATGTATGGGGTCGAAATGTGGAGGGCAATAAATAGACAACATATCACAAAATTGACTTAACCTGCAATAATAAATATGGGATCGCTCTACCTATTTATATATATATGTGTGTGTGCGTGTATGATCTATAAAAAATATAATATATATATATATGTATATGTATATGTATATGTGTATGTGTATGTGTATGTATGTATGTATGTATGTATGTATGTATGTATGTATGTATGTATGTATGTATGTAGGTAGGTAGGTAGGTAGGTATGTATGTATGTATGTATGTATGTGTGTATGTGTGTATGTGTGTATGTGTGTATGTGTGTATGTGTGTATGTGTGTATGTGTGTATGTGTGTATGTGTGTATGTGTGTGTATTATGTGTGTCATCATTGTATGTTGTACGAGCTGGGATGTCCCCCAACCATTGGCTGGCGCGCACTCTAACTTCAAGCCAAATTGCTGGAATAGGTATGCCTGATATACTAATGCTTGTTGGTTGTAGCAAGCAACATTCTCTATCACCCTGATTCCAGGAAATATAATATAAGCTATATAAGCAGGCTAAATCTGGCCTAGGGCCTAGACTAAACAAGAAGCAACCGTGAAAATCTCGGCACCACGAAGAAATCCTCTTTGTGTGCCCCTTGTGTATATACCCTTTTCTTTTGAAGGGAGTCGTGTTGTTTTGGTTTGCGCAGGCCCGTGCACACATTTTCTGTGTGAAATCCCACTTTGGCTGAAAAATCCAGATGGCCCCTGTTGCTGCTGCTTGGATGGGAATCCAGCTCAATGACAAGTTGCGAACAATCCTCTCTCTATCCCAGTACATGGTAACACCAAGCATGTTCATTGCCAAAAAATCATGGTAACCACAATCAGCTTACGAGACAAAAGCCTTCAGTGACAAGTGTCACATTTTTTCTGGGCCCAAAGCCTTCAACGGCAAGTGTGATATGTTTATCCCAAGCCAGGGTACCCCAACACCCACTGTCTATGGAAACGTGTTCCCTTTCAAAATCACGCTGCATTGAATTGCTGGCCGGTCACCCATCGTTACGTACCACATACCCAAATATAATCCTGGTGTGGCGTCCAATCGATATACTTAGCAACTTTGGTCTCGCCCATTTTCTGGTGGTGAAATCCTCCCAAATGTTCGACAAACCATCATTTCCACTGAAAAAAAATGCAAAACATATTGGTCAAGTCGCCACTTAAATTATTTCAAACTCATATTAAATCCCTATGCTGGTTAGATCTGGTTAGATTGCCACTCAAAAACTGTACGTTGCTTCAATCCCCCAAATCCGAGACATCCGCACTGTCACTGGTTTTCATCCATGCTTTGTATTGGTTAAACATGGTTAAACCATTGTTTCTGCTGGCAAAACCACCCCCCCAAAAAAAAACACGAGTCTTCCTAGCACTTTTTGGCGCTTCCCAGCCACGCTCCTGGCTCTTATGGGAGCGCCAAATCAAGCCATCGAGAAGAGTCTCGGCCAAAAAGGGTGCCTCCCGCAGGACGTTGTCCGCGATGTTCGGCTGGAACCTGGCCGCGATGATGTGATGCTTGCGCTGGCCATAGATATAGCTATGATGGGCGATGAGGATAAGCATACAAAAAAAAAACATCAAACACAGGGGTTTCGGTTTAAGCAACTAATAATGGACTAGACTTTCTGATGCCAAAGCTATGTCCAGCTCAATTTTGGGGGAAAAAACACGCACCACATATTTGGCTGGTTTGCCTTTTATGATGCATGCGATATTATATTTCTACGGTATGAACTTATGTGACTTTTGTGCTGTATTTGACCCATCTAACATGAAGAGGGAGAAAACAAATCCCTTGTCACCTTATTATAAATCCCAATTCATCACATTAATATCGCACTAAATACGCGTTCTTTCAGAGTTAAGTCACAACTTGGGCTATATGCACATATATATGATGAAACAAATGCAACGAAAAAACATGAGGTGATCCCCGTTCCTAAGTACAATCGATGGGGGCGATTGTTGCGAGACTGGTTTGATCTGCCCCCTTGAGATTTGCTGCTGGCCGGGATGGCTCTGGGCTACTGCAAGGTCAACTTTTCTAAATAAAATCGTGCACATGGATTTCCTATAGCAAAAATGCAACAGTTTCTTTTCCTTGTTCCACTTCCGTTTTTGTTTACTTTCACACAGGTGAACCGTTCGATCCAAATCTGATTCTGGCTGTAGTTCAGCAGGGTTGCATAACCCAAATGCACCTGGAGTTTCAGAGGAAACATAGGGAAAAGGAGTACAAAGGATGATGGCAATGATAATGGTTGTGAGAGATTGTGAGAGTGATGATCTGAGAATGATCATAGCATAGCATATCATAGCAGGGTCATGCTGAGAGCATTTCCGCGCCCAAAAATCTTTGTTACAACCAGCACGGTGGCACACATCTATATTGACCCGTTTTCTATGGCAGCTATGGTTAGGTTTTTCTTTATTTTGAATAAACAGAAAATACATAAATGGATATAAATGAGAATTTTAATGTGATTTCCACAGCAAACTCTTAGTTTAGCAGAGGGTACAGCAAACTCATCTCCGGGGAATCTCCAGCGAAGCAGGACCACAGATCTTCCCTCCTGGGGCTACCGGCTGGAAGAGCTCATCAACTCCATAGTAGTAATTGTCTCTGTCCTGGGCCAAAACACTGCGAATCCTAGGCATGTTCCTGGCTTACAATTGATGACATCAAGGAATGAGTTGAGGGGAAAATCAACAGGAAACTTTAAGAACCCATGTTTTTTTTTTTTTAAATACGGCCCCAAATGTACGGGTTTCCTATAAGTTTTCCCATCCAATTCTTGCAAAAATAGTGACACTGATGCCCTCAAGAGCCTGGCAATCTAAAGGCAGTTTATCTTCGTTTCTGGCAACGAAAGGTGCCAGGGGCGAATCTAAATGAGGCTGTTTGGAAACCAGAATGATCCATCAAGGCTCATCAAGGTTGGTCATTCCTCGTCTTAGCTAGGCCAAGGGTTTCACCCCCCTATCAACCATCGTTGAACTCCAAAGTTTTCCCATGCAAAACCCACGCGAGATCGAGAATCCAGTTGAATTATCAAAAAAGGTCAGGAAAAAATGCACAAAAGGCAGACGGGCCTTTTACTTATATACATATATATATATGCTCTCTCCCTCTCTTTCTCTCTCTCTCTCTCTCACTTTTGTTTCTTCTGTGTCGTGGTAAAACCTCCCAAAGGTTAGCAATATGAAATGTCAGTTCTACGAGGAAATGAGGCGCCTTCGGGCCTAAGTCACCTTTCAGGTTGATCAAGGGCTGGAGATGCCACAAATCTTTGCGAAAAAACATGGACAAATGCAACAAATCCAGCAACCAACGAGCGTCTGCTCTGATGGTGAGGATATCTTCAATCATGGTCTTGGCTGTGGCGTGCGCCCCACTCCTGGCTGCAGTTGAGCGGCATGAAACCCTGTCGAACATGTCAATCCCTATATTAAAAAAAATGCAATTTTCGTGGTTAAAACATCGCCTACTTTGCACCTATGCATCAAGGTTGACCCAAGGTGATTTCTAGATACGTGTCCTCCGCAAAATGCCGGGGCCCGCTGGAGCACCCCCACTTTTTGGGACCCACATCATCCTACATCCACATAACAAGAAAAGGATCAACACAATGAGTATGCCCAGGGAATAAAAAACAAATTCCCACACAAGAGACTGCACCAATGAAAATGGTCATAGCAAAACTGTATCCACCTTCATCAAATCTAACTTGAAACTCCAAAGCTGCCATGGTCTACAAATGGGATGCCCCCAAATCCACCGGTTTATCATCAGCTTGAGTTTTCCTATCATAATCTCATTTTTGGGCACACCATGCTATACCCCATTTCCACACATCCCCAAATTGGATACAGGTGATTAGCTATATCCCCCTACCTCCCAATTAAGATCAATCAAATTCCCATGTTGAATTGTTAAATCCCCATTTTGGCTGTGTGTACCACATCCCATCTGAATTCCCATGTTGTTGTTGTTTGTTTAATCCTTGGTTAGTCATACAAACAAATACACACACACACTATATATATATATCCTATATATATATATATCCTATATATATATATATTAACATGTATCCCGTGATGATATTCCCATTAATGTGGCACACCCAAAACTAAACCATCCCATTAACCAACCATGACTGGAGGTAATAATAAATATCATCCGATTGCAAACGGGGCCGGGTACATATACACAATTTCACCCTAAATTTGGGAATGGTGACCATGGCATTTGGGTTTACCACATTTTGCATTACATATTAACAATGGTTTGAAAGTTGCTGTGACCAATAGATTTTGAATTATGAATAATTAGCTATGTATATATATATATATTATAATACATCAATACTATTCATCATATATAAATATATTTATATATTTAAATATATATAAAGTATATACATATGTATATTTCTCTCTCTCATCATATTCCCATAAAAATCATCCGTTCAATCCCCATATCTCCACCCTTGACTTCCATCCCTTTTGTCTCTCCACCGTCCCCACCTCAAGGACCAAAAGAGGGGCGAGATGGACTGGCTACCGACCATCACCGCCAGCTGCCACACACAGCGTTCCGACTGGGCAAGGTCAGTCGAATTCTTGGGAAACTGGGCAGAAAAACATCGGAAAAACCTGAGAAAATTGTCGGCAAAAACTCAGATTTCGGGGTTTCTTTCCTGTCATGTGAAACTTCTGGGTTTTGTTTGATTGAAAGCAATGGACAAATCTTTGTAAAGTTATTGGTAAAAAGAAACATGTTTTTTTTTAAACATGGTTTCAACTTTCAACTGCCCCGGCTGGTGATTCAGGTCCAGGCTCTAGACCGGCTGAAACGCAAAGAGATAGATCAATTCAATTCAATCAGATAGATAGATAGATAGATATAGATAGATAGATAGATAGAGATATAGATAGATAGATAGATAGATAGATAGATAGATAGATAGATAGATAGATAGATAGATAGATAGATAGATAGATAGATAGATAGATAGATAGATAGATAGATAGATAATGATTGATTGATTGATTGATTGATAGATAGATAGATGGATAGATAGATAGATAGATAGATTAGGTAGATTAGATAGATTAGATAGATTAGATAGATTAGATAGATTAGATAGATCAGATAGATCAGATAGATCAGATAGATTAGACAGATTAGACAGATTGTACAGATTGGACAGATTAGATGATTAGTTAGATTAGATAGATTAAACAGATTAGATGGATTAGATAGATTAGATAGATAGGATAGGATAGGATAGGATAGGATAGGATAGGATAGGATAGGACGATAGATAGACAGATCGATCGATCGATCGATAGATAGATACATAGATAGATAGTATAGATAATGATAGATTGATAGATTGATAGATAGATAGTGATAGTGATAGTGATAGATAGTGATAGATAATGATAGATAATGGTAGATAGTGATAGATAATGATAGGTAATGATAGATAATGATAGATAATGATAGATGATGGTAGATAATGAAAGATAATGATAGATAATGATAGATAGATTGACATATAGATAGATTTAAAGATAGATTGATTGATTGACATATAGATACATTTATAGATTGATAGGATAGATGGATAGATGGATAGATTGATAGAAGGATAGAAGGATAGAAGGATAGATGGATAGATGGATAGGTGGATAGATGGATAGATGGACAGATGGATAGATGGATAGATGGATAGATGGATAGATGGATAGATGGATAGATAGATAGATAGATAGGTAGATAGATAGATAGATAGTTCTAGATAGATCTAGATAGATCAAGATAGATCAAGATAGATCAAGAATGATCAAGATAGATCAAGATAGATCAAGATAGATCATGATAGATCATGATAGATCATGATAGATCATGATAGATCATAGGTCTTAATGATCTTTAGATCACTTTAGATAATGTTAGATCATTTTCGGTAATTTTAGAGCACAAACAGATCATATTTGATATGGTTTCAATCATCTGCACCACAAAAAACATATGAAAACTTGAAAAAACATGGAGACCCAGGGGTCTCCAAACCGGGCACCACTGTGGCACCGTGCCCTTCGAGATTGGCGAGGCACTCGTGGTGCGTCCAGTAGTGCGCGACGCAAACGCGTGGGGTTGTCCAAATGGATTGCCTGCCTTACGACCGCGTGGCACGACCCAAGGTTGGCGTTGTTGTTTTGATATATAATATTATAATTCATTTGACTACGAACTCCATTTTTGTTCATTCTTACAGACGGTTTTTTTGGTGTCAAGAGTGGCAAGAGCGGCTTTTGTAAGTGGTTTTGAAACATGCTTTTTAATCATTGAAAGTGGGATCAAAACTGGTGAAAGTGTGGAAGCCTGGTGGGTTGATGGTTGACGGCGACAAAATGGGGTTACACTAATTAACTAGATTCTGTGACCCATCATCCAATTTTTTGAAATAGTTCTGTGAATGGTAAGTGAAAAATAGATCAAAATCGGCAGAATTCTGTGACCCTTTTTTGATATGATTCGTGAACATGTTCCCATCCAGTTCTGGTCTTGTACTGACTTGGGTCCATTATGAATGTAGGAACCCCTGTCAAGCAGAAACATATCACTCACCAACCACTTGCTATTCGGATCAAATGGCTCAATGCATGCCATGGCCAAAGGTGACGCAATGGCAATGCTCAAGCCGTTCCGTCTCAAAAAAGCGACCCACAAGGCTGCTAGGCAAAGGTAATATCCCTTTGTTTGAATGGCTAAGAGTTTCGAGCATCAAGTCATCCGATAGGGTTTACTTCCTTGTAAAGCGCCTTGTCTTCCGAGGTGGGTGCGTTCTCAGCTGCGCTTCATCTTGCGGAATGGAAACGGAAATAAGTTACAACTATATAGCATTGTCATCTTCTACCGGATGAAAGCGAAGGACCAACGCCGGAATGAACTTTTCGCAAAGATTTACCTGAAGTCGAGTCCCTGAGTACCTCTTTTTGCCCAAAAATGTGTCATCATAAATGATTGATTTGGGGTACTCCATCGTATATACCGTTATATACCCAAGCAAATGAAGACCAGATCCAGATTTCCGCCTGAATTCCGCCGGACACTGCAGGGCGAGTCGCATGACGGCAGTGGAGCCATCCATGATAGTGCGCACCAAAACACGGGCCGTGAGACCTCGGTCCGGTCTGAAAAAATTGGGCACCTGCCCCGTGATTGAAAATATTGAAATTGATTACATATATTATATTGATCATCTTCAATATCTTCAATGACTATTATTGACTATTAACAGCTTCAATGACCACCCAGTGATTCAATAGCCCAATAGTTATTGGATGTTATTGGGCATATATTTTGACATTCATTCCATAGCCTCGGCACGCACTTCAACAATGGCATGGGCGCCATGAGTTTCTCAAACGAACACCCAGGAAATGTTTAAAACATATATTTTAAACACGTGCAGGTGGGAACGAGTGGACATGTATCAAAACATGCAATCAATGGAAGTGAACCTAGTGAACAATCAAATAAATCAAGCTAAATCAATATCAATGGCGATGCCATACGATGCCACTATGTAGACCACAATCGTAATTGTGAAATATTGTAAAATGCTTTGCGGGTGTTAGCTGAGCAATGCCCAGCTCAAATTTCGGGGAGGCACACCTAAATCACCTAAAGTGACCTATTGGAAGGTGTTTTGGCTTCATCATCATTCATCCAGAAGCCTCAGAACCCATCTGAAGATAGACTGGGCTTAGGCCCTCAATTTTGATCATCTCAACAGTCACGAAGCCAATGATGAAGCCAACCAGCTTCTGTTGATTTACCCACTGCTTCACCAGTGTCGTGGTCGAATTTCAGATCGAGGAACCAATGGACCAGCGGAAACCTTCAATCATCATGTGCTCGCGGAGGTCCTTCTCCTGGATTGACAAATGGAAAATAAAGGGGGCTGATATGCTGGAGCTTGGACCAATCTGAGGACCAAAAAATGTTTGAGCCAGACATAGCTCTTCGGCTATTCGGCTATTCGCCAATTCTTTAAGCATTCAGGTTTGTCATTGAAAGGGGCATGTATGATGAGAGTAATTCCAACAACATTCAAAAAAACAAACGACTCCTTCAGACTCCTTCAAACCCACAAATTTTGATTCGGAAGTCCAGAGAATTGGGATGGATTTGGGCAAGCAGTTGCCGCCACACCCAGCAACTTCTCTGCAAGGGTTTTCCCTGCTGGATACTCAGTCTAGAGTCAATAGTTTTTTCATGTTTCTTCTCCCTGCCAATCAGGGATGTAGAACCATCCACACATGATCTCAGAGAAAACGGGGATGTTGCAAAGGACAAAGGTCAGTCCATACCGATGCTCTGCGTTCTTCGGTTCTCACCCCAATGGTCCAAACTTCGTGCCGCAGATTTTATCCGAGATGAACCAAGTGTCTGCTATTTGGTGTGCATTGTCTTTTGGGCACCACACCAGTTTTGTACTCACCTGCGGGCAGGTGGGAGATGGCCTCAATCTAAAGGGAAAAGCAACTGACCAACTGACTCTTAAAGCTAAAACCACCAGGTATCAAGTTGGTGCCTAGTTGGTTTATAAATGTTTATAACTTAAAACACACATATATATATGACTATTAGACTGGGGAATTTATATGAATCTATGGTACATCATCTACAACAATTCTAGGGGTTATAAACCAACTGATCGGGGTCATCACATTGATTACTTCTGGCCCCTAGTGACCAACGAGGCACGTTGTCGTTGGGGAAGTCGCTGATGAGTTGTCCCATGATGGTCACACAGGACTCCACGAATGGACCAAAGAGTTCGATGGGGATGCCATAGCCTCGCGCACGTGTAGTACTTGAGGAATTTTCGGCGGATGAAAGGTATATAAAGATATACTCTAATAGTACATACATTGCAAATAGATATAACTGATATAACACACACACATACACATATTCCGGCACCAATAATAACCGGGAAGGTGTCAGAAACCTGCACAAATCATCAAATCATGAACAAATCTTGCAAATGAAATCCATAAGATGAAACATGAAGACATTGGGACATTGTGTCACATCATCCAGGTTCCCATCACTTGCCAATGTGTATTGCTCTACCCGCATCCCTCCTGGCTGGACCCTAGAAACTCAAGAGCTCGCGCCTACGTGCCGCAAGCCCAGTGCAGACAAATCATCAAGTGTCTCCTTGGGAGGTCAAGGGTGCAGCCCCTTTTAAGTTTTAAGGGGCACTTCCCTATTAAAATCCGGTCATTGGAAAACATAAAATACAGTAAATACCCTGATACCCTCCATTAAATTAACAGTTCGACCCTGCCATGAGTCGGGGGTTGGAAGATTGGTTTCCACTGACATTACCTAGTTTCAGGGTCTATGTTAATTCACTGGAGGATACAGTAAGATACAGTAAGTTTGAAATGGTTATTAACCACCATCAACCCCTGGTATAAGCTTCTTAGAACACGATTGAATAGGGGCAGGGGGGTGTACCTCTGGAGAAGATACCCTTAAACTTCTCCCCTATGAAATACCCCAATAAGGAAGCTCAATGCATGAATAGATCCAATACTAAACCTTCAGGTTTCCCTGTGGGGGGGGGTATTGACTCTTCAGCAGCTTCAGCAGTTTCTGGGAATCCCAAGCCCCCAGGTGATGATCAGCTGTGGGAAACACTGCGGAATCGCAAGAAAACATCGGTCAATACTGCTTTCAGAAGCAGCTGGGTTTGAACAAACACAGAGATTTATATAAATATATAAACGTTAACAACAATAATAACAACAATTATAATAACAATAAAAATAAGACTAATATATATATATATATACAATAATATACATATATATGTGGTTTTCTTTGTTTATCTCGGTTTATTTTGGTTTATTCCGGTTTATCTTGGTTTATTTTGGTTTATTTTGGTTTCCATGGTAAGTATATCTCCATTACATTCCCATTAAACAAAAATACTTTACTTCGAGTGATCCCCACCATGACATTTATACATTTTCTTACTGGCAAATCTTCTGGCATTCTATCTGACATATCTTCTGGCATTCTATCTGGCATTCTATCTGGCATATCTTCTGGCATATGTTCTGGCATATCTTCTGGCATATCTTCTGGCATTCTATCTGGCAAATCTTCTGGCATTCTATCTGGCATATCTTCGGGCATTCTATCTGACATATCTTCGGGCATTCTATCTGACATATCTTCTGGCATTCTATCTGACATTCCATCTGGCATATCTTCTGGCATTCTCTGGCCGTTGAGGTCCGGCAGTGCCTACTGGGATCTGGAGCTCGCGGTTGAGGTCCGGCAGTGCCCACTGCGATCTGGAAGTCGCGGTTGAGATCCGGCAGTGCCCACTGCGATCTGGAAGTCGCGGTTGAGGTCCGGCAGTGCCCACTGCGACCTGGAAGTCGCGGTTGAGGTCTGGCAGTGCCCACTGCGATCTGGAATTCGCCGTTGAGGTCCGGCAGTGCCCACTGTGATCTGGAAGTCGCGGTTGGGATCTGGACTGCGAGGAGGAGGAGGCGGACTGCGATCTGGAAGTCGCGGTTGGGATCTGGACTGCGAGGAGGAGGAGGCGGAGGAGATGGAGAAGGAGGATGCGGAGGCGGAGGAGGAGAACAGCTCTGATAAAATCTAACAACCCTCACCTGGCAGGTGGTGAAAAAAACACACACACACACACCAATATCCCTTAAAAGTGGAAATTGAACCTAGCTATGGAGAATTGCCGATTTACTTCGATGATTGACCTAGAATTATCGACCTATGACGGTCATGATGTTACAGTTTACTTCAACATTTTTTTCTGTTAGTCACTATACCAGGGCAATCCATATAAGACCTGTTAAACTGTTAGATCATCATCAATGCTCCACCATCATATAGTTGGTTGCACACACACACGTATATAATATATAGTTGTTATGCCGGGTTTCATCTTTGTTCTTTTGGAACAGGTCCGACGAGGATTGCAAGACTCTGTCCGCAATGTAGCGCAAGCGCGTCTGTGACCTCGAGACGCGCGAAGGCTTCGGAGCGAAGCACGGTAGCAACAGAAAACAACGACCATTTCCTTCGGGATGCGTTTGTTTATATTGAATGAACAATTAAATAGATAATAATAGATATACTACATAAGTAGATATATAATGATAAAAGCCCCCTTCAGAATTGAAGAACACAAATTGATTGCGAACAGACCATTCACATCCATTCACCACTTGCTTAAGATTTTCAATTCATGTCATCCAACAACCACCGGCCAGAATTTCACTGGATCCCAGGCTGTTTAAACAAGTCTTGGCTGGCAGGTGCTCGATTGAAGAAATCCGTGTAGACATCTTTGCGAAAGCGGTCCAATTGCCTGGCTCAATGGCCTGGCCCTGAACTGGGGGAACTGGCGGGTTATGGCAACAGGACCCAGTTGTGCAACGCATGGGCACGAATTCAAACAGACATATGTTATATATTATAGTTATTTAATGTTATTTATACAATTGATGTGTTTCTTGCATTTATGGGTTCTTGTTCTTTTGGATGCCTGGATGTCCATATATGTCAGTGTCAGATAGTGTCAGTATGTTTCTTTGGAAAGCAATAGGTTAAGAACATGTTGTTTCGAATTACAGCAACGATTCTAGTCGCTCAATATCGGTGAAAGTATGGCTTCAGGAATTGATACCGCTTTTCGGTGGACCATGCCTGCAACAGTCTGAAATACATCACAGCCATGGTGCTTCCCATGAACAAGTAAGTCCCTTGAAGAGGGGGCGAAAGTCCATTGCAGTCAACTTGGGTAAAGCGCAGTGTAGTATATCAGTATATCATCTTATATCACTGGTTGGTGGTTTCAACCATCGTGAAAAATATTAGTCAGTTGGGATGATTTTCCCAATATATGGGAAACATGTTCCAAACCTCCAACCAGATCATCTTATTTTTGCGGGTTTTTGATGACTTGCCAAAAGCGAAGAAATTTGTCAATCACCTGCAAGGCTGTAATGTATGCTGTGTTTGAGTGTATTTGGTCATGTTTGGAACGAGTGGGTTCTACCATGGTGTACCATTAGCCAACCAAACACATGTTTAGCCGTATAGTTTCTTCCTCCATTTCCAGCTTGAACACACGACCCATCAATCTACAGTGTGGCACTGCAAATTCACTCTGGTTTCTGGCAGGTACATCTAGAGTTGGGTGGGTTTATAAATCAACTTACCCTCTGACCCTCCGACATTTTGAAATAATTAGCTATCCAACATGGCCCATGTTTTATGATTATCGATGATTCACCCCTTGAAAATGATGATTTTCAATGATTTTCACTGTTTGCAGACTGCCAATTGGGAGGGCACCGTAGAAAACGGGTCCCGTTTTCGATTCCAACCATCCCAGTTGGCCCAGCTACTCTTCCTCGAGCGTGGAGAAGAGTTTCACGTTGTACGGTTTGAAGGCACGGACCTTCAAAAGAGAATGATGGCTGGAATGACTGGAATGGAGGTTTTATTCATGGTTAATCGTTATGGTAAAATCATCCGACCAAATGGAGACTTTGCTGTTGCCATGATTACATATGATTACTGGATGGTATATCGAATATCAATGGGCTTTATTTGGCTGAATACATCTGAATACTCATTCACTCACCTGAAAATAGCTGAAGCTTGCGGCCTATGGGGATTCCCCGAATCCTGGCCGCAAACTTTCCACGACGCGATGGTGATCAAATTCACCCAGCATTTGGAATGGGACCCCACTTGGATTCATAAGGGCCATAAGGGTTCCGATGATTCGTTTGTTGTTCCAATCCAACCGTTTCAAGGAACATCAACGATCATCAAAGACATGGAAAACAAGCTGCCAAAGAAGTTCCAAGAGATCTCTAGCCAAAAACAGAGATCGAGTCCGGCCTTCATCGTCGACTCCCTGAGGTTGCGTGCGACGGTGCTCCACAGCCATTCCCAAGCGTTCTCATGGGCGGTGCTCCATTGCTTCGGAAGCCTCGGGGGGGTCTGCCACCAACGCCCTGGCTCTGTGACACCCGAAGGACTTGCGCATTTGATGATGGTTACCCTCTGGAAATTCAACATAGCTATGGGCAATGTTAAATTACAGAAGGTAATGCTCAGTATATGAAACACCAACGGCCATCTAAAGAGGTGATTAAGACGAAACAGTCAACCATCAAACCAAATCCCTCAATAAAAAAAACATCAGCCCCCACTGCCATCGACCAGATCCGGCCACTGTACGTAGTGGTGTCTTGCCCCATGCTAGTCTCAAAAGTTTCCAAGTCTACAGTGGTATTAATTACCATACATTACCATTCATTACCCACTTTGAGACAAGGGTAACTGGCCCACTCCTCTTCTAGCGTTCCATGGGCTACCAGGTATCTGGTAGCGGCTACCATGGATATCCCATTGCTATCTTACATTGCCAGTATGTTTATGGCCAACCTCAGGTACACCGCGGTACCCCCATTGCATCATCCTTCATCCATGCCTGGAAGTTGCCCACGCCATCAACTATCATCCCCCCAACGCTCAGCCAACAAAGGGAGGTTGCAAGACAATTTCCATGTAAAAACCCAGCATTCACAGGGTCGATGTTTACGAATTGGGGTACTTGGATTTGTTGCAGGGACAATAGTTAAAACCAGCCAAACTATTCCCAGTAATTAGATTCCTGCAAAAAATGGATTCACACGGATTAGCGAACGTGAACATCAAATGAAAATCACAGTTCATCTTAGGAGATGATGGTGTATGGCAAATGCCGGTTTCCCCTACAATCCCTTCATAATGTCCTCCATACGATGTGTGGCCGCATCACAGAAAGCCGGAAGCCGTGGGTGCCAAGTCGCAGCGAACGCAAGGCTGCGAGCATCACAGGTTTGAACTTCTCAAACTCGATGGACTGGGCAAGTTCAACCAGCGCGCTGGGAATCCAGCTGGTTTGTGTCTTGAACCGGAAACCAAGGGAATCAAGGGAACCAAGGGATCCAAGGGATCCAAGAGAACCAAGGGAACCAAAAGAACCAAGGGAACCCAGGGAACCAAGGGAAGGGATCGAAGGGAACCCAGCAAACCAGGGAACCAAGAAGGGAACCCAGGGAACCAAGTTGAAGGGATGGCCATTTTTTTCGGGTGAATGATCACGAGTGAATAATTTCTCCGCCTGCGATCTGACGATCAAATTGATGGCCAACAGGTCGCACTCCTGGCGTTGGTAAAAAAACGACGAGTTGGGAGACCTCCACAGACCTTTGAAGGAAGATGTTCACGAACAACAAACATCGTCTCTTATATAAGGTGATGTGTTTTAAATGCTCAAGCTTCACAAGAATCTCAAGTCTCTCAGGAGAGGTTCACATCATGTTCCGACAAAAATGGGACGTTAGAATCGCCTCTTGAAGGTGCACCGGGCTGGAAATCATATCCACCAATACCTGGAAGGCTGGAAGGCCCCAGATTTCTGTTTTTCTAAGTGTCTAGTATTGGGTTTGAACGTACTTGAACTATCAAAACTATAGACTAAAGTTTTCCATTTTGGAGATATAATTTTGTTGATTTCCAAAGTTTCTAGTATTGAACGACTCATGTTTTTTATTTCTTGGGGGCGTGCCCAAGTTCGACCCACACACGCATATATACATATATATATATACATAGTAAAATAAATAAATAATTAATAAATAAACAAATAAAAATATACATATTTATATATATATACAACTTTTGGCACCAGTCAATGGTGCCAAATGATGCTGTCACGAGCTACCATGGCATGGATAACGAAGGTGGAGGGGAACATCTAGAAATTGAGAAGGGAACACTTCTGAAACATGCCAGGTTTTATTTTTTTCCGCCCTCCCACGGTGACCAAAGAGAGCCAGCACTTTCATGAGGGTTTAATGTACGTCAGCCCCAAATCTCACGATTGATCATCCTACGTTCCATCAAAATTGATGTTTTGGGGAATACTCCATCTTCGGACACGCCCAAGGCCACCATTCATTGCTGAAATCCAGTTAGTTGATGCTAAAATCCACCATGTTTGGATAGTGGAATTCTCGAAACCCATGGGTGGTGATAACCTCAACGCAAACAAAGGCCAAGCAACATGGAAGACCTTCAACAGCTCTTCCATCCAGCCTCCAAAACTCATCAACATCCACTGGTTTGGGAGGGGGCAGTGGATCAGAACGAACTGGATCTGACCAGTCACTAATTGGGGTCGGTTTTCTGGAAGCATGAGAGACAATGCACAGGACAGAAATGAATTTATATAAGAATTGGATCATCATCATCATCATCATCCTCATCATCATCATCATCCTCATCATCATCATCATCATCCTCCTCATCATCATCATCCTCATCATCCTCATCATCATCATCCTCATCATCATCATCCTCATAATCCTCATCAACCATCATAATCCTCCTCCTCATCATCATCATCATCCTCATCATCCCCCTCCTCACCCTCATCCTCATCATCATCATCATCATCCTCATCATCCTCATCATCATCCTCATCATCCTCATCATCCTCATCATCCTCATCATCCTCACCATCCTCATCATCATCATCATCCTCACCACCCTCATCATCATCATCATCATCATCATCATCTTCATCATCATCATCCTCACCACCCTCATCATCATCGTCCTCATCATCATCATCATCATCATCATCATCATCATCCTCATAATCCTCATCAACCATCATAATCCTCCTCCTCCTCATCATCATCATCCTCACCATCCCCCTCCTCATCCTCATCCTCCTCATCATCATCATCATCCTCATCCTCATCATCCTCATCATCCTCATCATCATCATCATCATCCTCATCACCATCATCCTCACCATCATCTCATCATCATCATCATCCTCATCCTAATCATCCTCATCATCATCCCCATCATCCTCATCATCATCCTCATCATCCTCATCATCCCCATCATCATCATCACCATCATCATCATCATCCTCACCACCCTCATCATCATCATCATCCTCATCATCATCATCATCATCATCCAACATCATCCTCATCATCCTCATCATCCTCATCCTCATCATCATCATCCTCATCCTCATCATCATCCTCCTCCTCATCATCATCATCAGCATCATCATCCTCATCATCCTCATCATCCTCATTATCATCATCATCACCCTCATCATTCTCATCATCATCATCATCACCATCATCATCATCACCATCATCATCATCATCATTATCATCATCCTAATCATTATCATGCTCATCATAATCTTCTTCATCACCATCATCATAATCATCATCATATAATAGTTTGTTAAAACAAATCTTGCAACATATTGCCAAAAGTAACACATGCAATGAGCATCTTTGACACAACAATATAAACATTCAACTACTTTTGAAGGGACCAGGGCCAGGGCCCTGCAAGGCTAGTGGAAATGCATCAGTGTTTGAAAAATCCAAGGCCCAAAAATTGCCAATAAGTAGTTAGGAAGAATAATAGTGAATTACTAGTGTTATTACATATAGAATAACAGCGAGTTACTAAAATCAGGAACTATAATTGTCAATCATACTGTAAAACATACTCTATATATATATATATACACGTATGCATGTATACATGTATACAGTATTGCTAGTGAATAATATTGAACTACTATCAGTGAATCAGGATACCAAGGGACCATAGTGGCCCTTGTCGCTTCCGTGGACTGACAGGATCAGCTCCCTGGTGGTGGCAAAAGCCTGGTGGGAAAATTACACCCTGAACCAGGAATTTTGGGAAAAACAGTAGCATTCCGTCTGATATATCAAAGTAGTTAAAAACCAAAAAAAAACATTTCATCAGCAAAATCAGAAGTACCTAGTTCACCTTCGCGATAGACACTTAAATATCACGTTGACAGGGGGCCTATGGCCATAGGGATGTTCTAAGAGTCTACCAGTAAGTGGTTGTCTGCCATTCTAAAATAGATTGCACTAGGGGTCTCCAGTCATGATCAGTCTTATGTTGGCACATCTCACTATATACAGTGTGAGAACCTACAGTATTATCTATTACAGCCAAAAGTATCCACATGGGGACATTCAATCTTACCTGCATTTGTTTCGCATTCTCCGGCAGGAACAACACGTGTGCGAAAAAACACATGCCTCACTCCATGCACAGAAACACACTTATAACATGGAACTCAAGATTTTGCAAATGTTCCAAATGTGCTAAAATGGCATCATTTTCTAAGTGACAACTTCGAACACCAACATCATTGATATTCAGATGTTCCGGGTGTTTTTATGTTTTTTGTTCCCACTTGGAAATCCATGATGTTCTAATGATCCCAGCTAGCCGCGTTTGATTACTGTAATGGGTAATTACAAAAAATACTGCCAAATACCACGTTTGTAAACACCACTTATAGATGATGTATGGCATACGTATGATGATGTTCCAATTCTTTTACCATTATTGTTTTTAAAAACATTATGTATATATGTATGATATTTTCCAACTCTTTTCCCATTAATTATGGTCAAACATCGTAAACGCGCACTTGGCGCGTCGCCTTCAGTCTTTTGGCCCATGACTTCATTGCTGAAGGCGCACATTCGACCGAAACCTTGGAGATAGAATGATAGTGGTCGTCTCAAGCCATGTCCGTCTTATCGCCAAATATAGGTTGTTTGATGTGAATCCTCCCAAATAGCGTGGAAATTGAAGTGATGTATACACTTAAATTTGGTTTCTCTATCAAAAAAATATGTAAGTCAAATCTGTAAAGCAAAAATATTGTTTTCGCGCACCACTGTCGGGTATAGAAATATTTTTTTTCACCATTGAGATCGGACTGGTGGGATCCGGTGATGATATTGAGTAATGTCATGAGTCATAGTTCATCCTATTAATATACTTCAATAATTACTGATAAATGTAATCATATGTCATCATAGTTTGAGACATTGAGCAGAAATATTAGCCTAGAGACTCAACCTCGGATCCTGCAACTGCCAAGTCTGCCAAGTGGCTGAAGGTCTCCGCGCCTTCACGTTTGACGCTCTCTTCTTTTACCATATCATCCCCTTCTTCCCCTGCTTCCTCCTCAGGCTTTCTGGGAAACCCATTACTGGGCTGACATCGGAGCACGGCCGTTGAAAAGAGGACAAACTCTCAACGAATCTCAAACATGTTGAAAAAGAACTCGAAATTATATTGATGCTATGTTTCGTAGTGCAAACTGAGGGTCTGGGTAGTTTGGATGACATGTGATGAGCTTACTTGTTATATAGCATCATGGGCTTGGGTATCAAGTCGCTGGCTTAATTGCAGTGTTTCACTTCGTGTGAAGGTGATGTTTGATGGTGATGAGAAGGATGAAGAGGAAAAGGAGGAGATGTTTGAAATTAATAGGAACTATTGTTCTTGATATATTTGATATTTATATATATATTATATATATCTCTCATATATATATATTATATTATATTATATATATATCATATAATTATATATATATAAGATATATAATTATTATATATATATAGTTGATATGCGCAACTGTCCATTGTAATTCCACGCGCCCCGACGTAGCGACGCCCGAGGGCTCGGAGGCGCCTTCGATTGTTTCGAGGCGAGCTCTTCCTTTTCCTGCGACCCAGCCGCGGCAACGGACGTTGTTTCAACGTCCATCCCGAAGCTCGACGAAGAATTTAACGTTGGTAAAGCATGGTAAAGCAATAAATGAATGCTATAAACATCTATAAACCATGAAAATACTGGTGGTTTATTGTCTGTTGCTTGGCTAGTTAAAGTTGTTCCCTGTTCTAGTTGGAGATCGCTACAAATGCTGACTACCAGGGTTGGCTCCACGTTGCAAAAGCATGGGATTCAAATTTAGTTGATGTCCTCAAATCACCAAAGCGATCTGTATTGTCAATACCAAATATTCTGGTCCCCCCTTTTGCTACCACCCTTTGTTCCAAAATTCAAGGCGGTCTACATATATATCGGCATTCAAAACAAAGCGCAAACATGATTGTTTGCTCCCGTTTGCCACATGTTTTTTGTAAAAGCTGTGCTATACAAATGGATTCTGACTACAGTAGGCATCAAGTTGTGGATCTTCAAGTGCCCTCCGGTAATCCTTTTTTTTGGGCGGTCATGGGAACTCAAGTGTCTGTGGGCCCGCGTTGCGACTGCATTCAAAAGGTCCGTGCGAGCAAACTGATGTTTTTTTTTGTTTTGTGTGTCTGTTTGCGTTGATTGAAAATCAAAGGTGGCAATTGAAAATCCACCATTTATAGAGGCGTTTCCCATCAGCGCCATCTTTAAATACTCTCCATCTCATGAAGTACTGCTTGAAAATTGCTTCCCAGTCCCATGGGCTATCATCCCCAATAAATGAGGTAGTATAAGCCCCTAGTTCTTAACCAATCAACCAGTTCATATATAATTTCTCGGGGACATTCCAGCCAGCCACGTTTGATATCCAGCAACGTCGAGTCCTTCGCCGAGGCTTGCACAACGGTCCAATCTTCCTGCTGTCCACTGGTATTTTTGAAATTTCATAGGAATATTATAGAATGGGATATACAACAGGGCTTTAATTGAACCATCAAAAGTACGGAGTTTCAGAACCCATCCTCCCAATCAAATAAATGTGCACATATATATATATATATATAAATATAATGTGTGTGTGTGTTAAATTCCGCATGGGACCCAAAATGAAGAGATCCAACGGGTTCCATGATCCAATACCAAAATAGGGCCTGCCTAAGGGGTATTTAAGGAAACAGGGGGAATGAAACACCTGAACTGCGTCACCTTGAGGAAGACGGATACTGAAATATGGGCTGAAATGAAGACCAGACCTTAGGGTGTAGTATTGATAGAACCTTCAGATTGAAATCAGTCAGGTTGAATATCAGTATTTTCTTGGGGCCAAAAAAACACAGTCTTTGAAATGGGGCGCATTCTTTCCAATTCAGTTTGAGCTTCTGTGGATGGCCATTGTATCTTATTTTAGGTAGAATCATGCTAGATCACCTACTGTACATGGTAGCCCAACCTTGTTGTAGGGTACTTATATGGGTGCTCGAAAGCCCCTTTAATTCGTTCGATCATATTCATATTCAATTTATCTACCACAAGCTCAAGATTTATTGGACTAATGTTCCCCAACTCAAATATATCATTTTGTTCCTGGATAGATCTTCATTTTCCTCAATATTGTTGGTTAAATCTACCATGAACCTTCCATGAACCTCAGTTATTGATATCTGGTCAATTCGATCCATGCTGATCATGGACCTGGACAAAGGCAAAAAAATCGCAAAAACAGTATTCAACTGCTCCTTCTATAGTCATACCTTATCGAACCATAAACATCACAAAGCCCTAAATGGGACTCCAAAATCAATAACTTGATTAAAACTAGTTAAAACACCATCCCCCAAATATCCCCAGTCATCACCATTTTTATAGGTGGTATAAACCATTCCCAGTCATGAGTGGTTAATGACATTGCTTTAACCACATTAGATCCATTGGGTGCGGGACCCAGGGCCCAGCTTCCCCAAAGAAAGTGCCTTGATGATCCGAAGGCGCTCGCCATAGGTGTCCCCCACAAACCTGGCCAAAGATACTCCACGAGTTCCCGTGGGCTTCCCCAAAATTGGGATAATCATTGGATAACTTTGGAGAATCCTTTGATAATTACCATATATTACCATCCATAATCTTGCCATCTTGGGATCCATATTAATATGATGACGATGACGATGACGATGACGATGATGATGATGATGCTGATGATGATGATGGTGCTGGTGGTCAGTAACGCATCTTTCTTTTTGAATCTCGGACCGTCCAGATGATCGTCGAACAATTAAAGTTTTTTTCTGGGGAGCAATGAAACATGGCAATGGGAAATGCCCCCTATACATGAACAGTTAAATGGCAAAACTGCTTTACGTGTTGGATTTTCCGTTGCCATGTATGATTACCAAATGGTGTACACATCGCATGGATGTCCATCATCATTCATCACACATAGCGCTAGGGATGCATATCCAATCTGGTTGGTGGTTTCAACTCATCCCATGTTAGTTGGTAATGGTAAAAAAAACATATATATATATATTACATATGTAAATACAAATAACATGCGTATATATGATAATAATTATCATCATCATAATCATTTTAACTAATAATAATCATAATCATAAAATATAAAAAAAGAAATAGACTATATACATCTATAATATATATATATAAAGAAACTTAATAATAAAAAAATAAAATAAAAACTATACACATATACACAATTATAAACATATCTTAGAGATTGGTCAGTGATAAATTTCAAGCTCCCAGCGACCCGTCGCCGCCCGTCGCCTGTAGCAGGAGCCGCAATAGCTTAACATCGTCTTCCAGGCCGCGTTGGTGCCAGGAGGCAAGTTGGGCCTAGTGCCGCTGGCAGAGGCTTGGGGATAGGAAAAACCATGGGGAAAAACCATGGGAAAACCATGGGAAAACCATGGGAACATCATCTAAAATTAGATCATTTTCCCACAAAAAATATAAACTTTATAAACCTCTTGGGTTTCGTTCGGGGATTTTCCATGATTTTGCAGTCAGCGGGTTTGATTACCACAGGGTAACCCCTGCAACTATGGCTAGACATCCACTTATATACACAGGAACTGGAACGCCCACCATGTTGGCTATGGTCACCCCACCATCATTGGGGATTCCTCATGAGAGATATCTGAACACCTATTCTGACTTGGAATTGCTTCAGGACCACCCCAAAAAACTACAACAACGGTATGCCCTATAGATTCCCCAAGTAGTGGAATTCCCATTAGGAAAAAAACACATCTTCACCAAATCCAGGATTAAAGGGGGATGACCATGCCCCCACACGACAATGCAAAAGCCCAGCGAAATGTTGCTGAATCCCCCACATCCCACTGCATTCCCTTCACTCCAATGGTAAGTAAAAAATGCATTTTTTGGTAGGGTTCCAAAAGGCAGTGGCCAAATTGGTCTATTACTGTAAATCCTCACTAATTATCTCAAGATATCTACTGTAAACCTTACACCCAAGAGGTATTGGAGTTATTTTCGAAAATTTGGCTAACCATTAGATTCCCAACTGTTTGTCGGGGTTGATCCCCATTGTTTGTTGGTATCACAATATATCTCTTTCCATAGCCTTCTCATAATATCAGCACTGGTAGGTTGATACCACCGGAATCCACATTTTTCAATCATTTGTCGTGGTTTTATTTCTGCTTTTATCCACATGTTTGTTGCTTGAATCACCGTCTGTTTCTTTCACTCAACCCATCCGTCACCATGGCACACGTTCTGGTTCAAAAGCTCCAGAAAGGCATCCTGCACGCGACCCACGCGCAGCTCCGTGATTTCGAGGTTCAAATGCCTAAAGGAGCAATTTCCGCGGACGGTTCTTACATTGAACTTGGGTGAACATTTCTGGGATGCTGAACATCAACTTGCAATATATTGAAACAACTTAGATAGATCTTTGGGAGGTTGCATTTGTGATACCTTTTTATCCTGGATGTGCTTGAAGGACGATGAGAAATGTGGACTAGCCAATATTGGTAACAATTTCAATCAGCACATCCAAGATTGCCAGGTGATGGGTCTTTAGCCAAAATGGGGATACAGGAAAGGGTCCCCCAAAGAATAGCGAAGTTGGTCTAAGTTGGTTATTTATAGCAAAGCCGGGATTTGAATGGTTGATATTGGTTGATAAATATGCAGTTGGATGGAGGTATAAATATAAACCAACTTTTAACGCCTGGGGGGACCCTTCTGTAAAATACGGCAACGGATGATCTCATGAGTATCCCATGTGCGCTGGCAAACATGGGGATAGTTGATAACAAACCACAAAATAGGGAGGGATGTAAGCCAGCATGATGGGCAATATAATATAACCAAGAATTGCCAGGTAAATCCTATTTGTATCTAATAATTATATATAATTATTGGATTTTTGTCCTCAAAGTGCTATGGGAAGCTTTCAGGAAAGCTCTGGCAATGGGGATCCCTTCATTGGAGAATGAATCCACAGCTTGGCGCGATCCCATGAGCAGTGTGGCAAAAAAACCTTCCCATGGAATCCATGGACCAATGGACCAATGGAGAAAAACCATATTCTATGGTTATTTTTTAGAACGTAACTGTTATATAACTGTTATATCTTTCCCATACCATGACCAGTTTCATCGTTTTAATATGTTTTCATCCAAAAAAGGCCAACAAAGATCAGAAAACGGAGAAACCATGGATAATAAGGGCTTGTTGTCCGAATGAATGTTGAATGCCAGGTCCGCAACCCCAATTCCGACCGTTCGTTGATGTCGGATCATGAGGATTTTCCCCCGAGCTACCAACATCATCGACAACGGATTGAATTACTGTAATGGAATATATTATACTGCAATGGAATATATTATAATATATTTAATCTACAAGAAAACCAAAAAAAAAACAAATTTAAGGATTTCCTGCACATGTTTCCCTCCAACTCTGGGACATTGAGGGCTTTGTTGCTGGGCTAAAACCACTTTGAAGAATGGCTCCCATCGCCAGGTCATGCCAGGTCCCAGCAATCAAGCATCAACATCAAGCAACCAAATACCAACTTGCGAAAATTCGTGAAAACAACTGACACTGTTGACCTCTTGAAACCTTGCTTTCCTATTGGATCTATTCCTTTTGGGGCCTTTTTCTGGGCGTATTTCTTTGGCTTAGGATTTCATCGGGAACTCAGCCAAGGAGCTTAAATGCCAAGGTCTCGACGTAAATCTTCAGCTCATCAAAGTCTTCTGCCTTCTCCAGCAGAAGTCGAAAGCCTTGGAACCGGGACGGGGCGCTGCGGTTCCGCTGAAGTTTTCCACTGGGGTTTGCCATAGAGTCATGGGGGTACCCCAATAGCTGGATGATTTCGGGGTACCCCTATTTTGGGAAACCTCCATATGACATATGATACCATGAAATGGGCCATCGTTACTTCTCTTGGACCTGTAAAGTTTAGTAATGTTTTATTCACCATGGGAACCTTAAACCGTCCCATTCTTGGGAGCGGCTTGCAGCTTCCATGTAGATATCTTGGTCTATAAATCCGTAATTAACCTGCGATCAAGAAGCACGAACGAGGCACTGAATCATGTGTGAATCTAAGAGTCAAATAACCTAGTTTACCACATTTTACCGCCATAGTAGTAATTCATAATTGACCACTGGCCAAAATTAGTAATTGGGATTTTCCGCGTGATGTAGGACGCACTTGAAAGTGCCGCCTCTGAAGCGATCCCCACCCAACTGGCCAGGCAACAGTTGAAAAAGCGAAGGGACATTACCGCTCTGGGTGTCTTGAAACTGTCCTGCCGACATCCAACCACAGCACATATATGGTTTCCTAATGTTTCCTATGGGCTGAACTTGGGACCTGAAGCCATCAACATTTGGGGACGATTGACCCAACGGCCCATCATCATGTTTTCAGGGGGGGACGACAGGGTTCTGGATCCCAAATTCAAATAGATAGATGGGCCAGAAATCAGCCCAATCAGCAAAATCAAAGCGGAAATTCAGGCTGCCTCAGAATGGATCATTAAGCCTTTGTTGCTGGACAGTTGCGGCCTGTATTCCTAATTCCAACATTTCTCGCTCCAAAAAAAATTGAAATTTGGCGAATCCTGATGTTTGTAAGGTGAACTCCGGTATTCCTGTTTAATTCTCTCTTGAAAATTCTTAGTTTCAATTACCCAAGAAATTTTCATAGAGAATCTGCTCAATTTTGCCATCACTTGGGTTTCCAAAAGAGCCTCCTGTTGTTTTGACCATGGCTTTACATGGTTTTCCATGGTTTTTTCCATTGTTTTCCCTCCTTGATAGCCACCAATGCCATGATCTTCGTGCCGTAAATGGCATCTCCCACGGCTTCACGGTCGTTCCCCAGGGATTGCCTCGGTGTTTCTGCAAGGCTAACAGTGGGTGAAGGTCATGTGCATATATGCCATATGTTCACCGACCATGCATATGTTTTATAGGATTCTGGCTATCTGGTGAACATAACATATGTATATAAGTTCTATATAAGTTCTATATGCATGCAATGATGCCATTTTTTCTGGATGCATACGTAAATCCAATGCCATCAACTGCCATAAACCATCCTATTCACCAACCATCGGGCTTATTTTATCATTTTACGTCATCGTCATCCAATTTACTAGGGGCATATAATACGGTAGATATACAGTGTATAGATAGATAGATAGATAGATAGATAGATAGATAGATAGATAGATAGATAGATAGATAGATAGATAGGTAGAGAGATATATAGATAGATGGATAGATAGATAGATAGGTAGGTAGATAGATAGATAGATTAGATAGATTAGATAGATTAGATAGATTAGATAGTTTAGATAGATTAGATAGATTAGATAGATTAGATAGATTAGATAGATTAGATAGATTAGATAGATTAGATAGATTAGATAAGATAAGATAAGATTAGATTAGATTAGATAAGATAGATAGATAGATAGATAAATAGATAGATAGATAGATAGATAGAGAGAGAGAGAGCGTATACAGAATAAGATAGAATACGAGACCTCAAAGTTGGGGATGGTTTATTACGGGGTTTATCTTTATAAAACATGTTTCTCCAAAATCACATGCTGCATTTTATTTGTTGATAAGAGCTTTTATCATCTTTGGTAAATTAACATAGACCCTACCAGATAGGGGCTGGAAGATAAGTTTCACCAGCCGAAAAAATGTGAATTTACCGGGTGACCTGCGGGGTCCTCAAACGTGTGGCGGGTCGTGGTTGGACCCAAGGGACTCCATGATCCAAGCTGCAGGAGCAAATCAAAGGATGTCCGCAGCAAGGTGATCTCGGTCAAAGTCCTTGGTGTCTGCTGGAACCAGCGGCGACGGGTCGACCTGGACCTATCCCCTCCGGAAAGCTCGTTTTCATATCTTTCATCTCCGTGCAGCAATGGTTTCTGAAGGTGCTGAGGTGTGCGTCGCAGCCTATGACTATGCAACATCAGCAACTCTTCAGTTTGGGGAAGTTTATTCGCCAATGCTAAACCCCTCCGTAGACATCTGCTACAAATCATTATGATGCAGTCAGCCTTGATGATGAGCCTTGATGATGTTGGAACATGCAATTAGTCCAAAATTGGTCATCACATCTAAACAAAGAGCCCAAGTGTCTCAATTTCTTAAATGCCTGGAACATGGCCCAAAATCTCCCAGCACCTCTAAGGTTTGGATAAAAAACATCCGAAACATTGACTCAAAATACAGGTGCGTCGTTTAACGATGGGATACACCAAACATATTCAAAAATCGCCAGAATATGTTTCTTTCCTGAAGACACTGATGATTTCTTCCGGATTTTGAAGCACCTGATTTTCCGTACCCGGTGCCACGATGTGCCACGATGTGCCACGATGTGCCACGATGTGCCACGATGTGCCACGATGTGCCACGATGTGCCACGATGTGCCACGTCTTAGATCCCTTAGATCCAATCCCTTGGGCCGCCGCACATCTTCAACACCGTCATGGCCTCTCCAAAGCCGGAGCCTTCCGTCTGGTTCGTGGATGCCTGTCCTTAAGAGCTGGTGGGGTCCAGTGGCATAGCATGGCATAGAGGTCTTCCAACTTACCTGGGAGAAAACGCAAAGCTATCAAAGTCGGAAGTTGAACAATTGGCTGAAGTCAACTTATAGATCTTTGGGGATTCCTAAATTTCTGCGCCTTATTTTGGACTTGCCTGAGCATCTTGAACTGCTTAAGCGATCGTATGTTTCTTTTCAAAGAAAAAACAACTAGTCCCAGAAAATACCCGAGTCATGGTGGATTCTTTAAGTAATGGATACTAATGGGAAAATACAGTCCAGAACCGAAACAGGGATTTTTTCTAAGGCAGTACAACCAATTTCATACTCGGAGATATCCCATGTGAACATACATAAATAAAGTGTCATAATGTTTCATTGTCCCATACGTATGGGTCATATGGGTAGTTAAGGAACGGTTTCAAACATCTTCCATCTTTGCCAGCGTTGTGGGATGATTGTCCCCCATGACGACTAGTTGGTTGAAACCATCCATCAGAAATAGTTAAATCATGTTAAATCTCATTAAGCACCCATTAGACACCCATTAAATCTCATGAAACACACACTAAACACCGTGAAACATTCATCAAACCCCATTAAATCCCATATGAATTCCTCATGAAATCCCCTTCACCAGCCATGTTTTTCGGGGCACGCCATGGCACACCCCATCCATCGGCACCTTGGGATGCTACCTCTGCGTCGGACTCGCCAAGCTCCTGAGTCTCTGAGAGGTTCTCCTCAGCCTGCGGAGAAATCACCGAAATTTTGGTGATTTCTCCATGTCAAATGGTCAAAAACCTCCTGTAAACTAACATAGATGTGGAAAATCCACCCATTTTTAGAGGGTATAAATCATCTAGAAATGAGCCATTTGTCCACATCTAGGTTAGCTTACCATAGCTTACCCCTTGCGGTTTTTATCTCATTCGAATCCCCAGGATGTCTTCCGGAGGGGTTTTTCATAGAAATATCATGGGGATAATTACATTCATGATGGTTTTCCTAACCATCCAGTCATGGCTAGGGAAATCCCCGAACTAAACGGAGCTTAAGGGATTTTCCCATCGAACTGTTCTGGAGGAATTCCCATGGGAATTCCCGTGAATCTATGTTGAATTGCCAGAGAAGCATCAACTAATGATGATTTACAAATTGCGATTTAGATGGATTTAGCCATTGATTTTGGGACTCAAGATGAGTTAAGCAAATAGCAAAGGTGATATGTTCTGTTCTTGTCCTGCTCTTAAATGGTCTTTGCGGTGATTTACTGGGATTTCAACACTTAAGGTTTTTTGATGGGATATCAATGGGAATATAATGGGATGTAAGGAACCATGTTGTTATTTGCATGTATATATATATATATGTGTGTATATATATACGTATATAATATATATATATAAAATATCATTACATATCTGTCTGCGTATACACCCATAAGTGTTAGCAATTAACATGTACAGTATTTGAACACCGTCCAAACAGGTTGTGCAATGGTATAAACTTTATAAAACCAACCATTTTATGGTGACATGTAACAAGATTAATGACAGCATGGATGTGTTTGCGAAGGGCACGCCTCAAAACTGCACTTGAATACGGAAAAAATATGATTATATAACTAGTCGATTGGGAGTATCCAAATGTCGAACCCCGCACCTCCGGATGATTTTCACATCAAAGGTTGGGGCTGCTTACCGTTCGTGGGTGATGATTTAAAAGAAAAACATGTGGACATGTTGTTTTCTAAAATCCCGTTCAACAATTGTGGACCCCACAACAGTACCCCACTTGGAGGATTGTTTCTCCAATCATCCCCAACGCCACCAGACCGTACGTAAAATCAAAGGGCCGGTTGGTGGAAAACGAGGGGTGACCCTGACATCTATGGCTTGGTATCCCCCAAGGGCCCCCAAAAAATCTGGATCTTCATGCCCCGATAAAAACATAGTTGTCTGATATGCCAAGCTGCCGGCTGCTGTTCAATGGTCTCCGGGGCTGGTTGCCCCTGCAACCGTGCTGGAAGGTGTCAGAGCCCTTTATTGGGGCCGCGAGATTTATAACCAAATAGAACCAACACAAATTGCAGGTATAACTAACAGAACGAAGGTTTGACTTAACCTTAGATGCCTGCGAAAGTCGGCAACGGTGTTTGTACAAGCATGCAGCATTCAGAGGGTCCAAATATCTCCTCTTGCGGAGTTCAACGAACCCCACTTCCCATGAGTCTGGATACTTCATAAAAACAAGATTTTAAAACATATAATATATATATATATAATTATATATATAATATGAATTAATATGATATAACAAAAATGAATAGCACGCCAGCTTTCATCGGCCATCTTTTGAGAAAAAATTGGTTCTCCCCAAGAACAGCCATCATTTCTACGTGACAAGCGCCAGGATCAGCCACAAAATACCTAGCCTCGTTGGCCCCTGTCGTTTTAGCATCTGCCATCGGGTGCTGAACTCTGGCTTCAGAAGTTGGGTGGTGTCTGATCACTTGAGCCTTCAAAGAAATTCTGCGGAAAGGTCGGGCAGTTCAACCAATGAACTCGTGCCTTAAATGGGACCCGGCGAGTTGAACTCCCAAGATTCCCTTATAATGAGATTCCACGCAACAACCACCAGTTGGTTTAGCATGGTGTAGCATGGTTTAGAAGCGGTTGAAATCCTTGCCTTGAAAACGATGGGATGGGTTTCGAAGGCTCGGCGTGTGGTTCCAACTCCCACTGTTGCTAGGTGCATCCCCCAAGGCCTACCTCCTTCTATCCTACCCAAAGCATGGGACTTCTGTAAATTTCAGCAAGATGAGCCTCAATCTGTGAAGCCTATGACCGAAGATCATGTGCCAAATCAAAAGGTCCATTCGAAACATTTCAACGCCAATGCAAAACCATGAGCGTTCGCACGGTTCAACTTCTACCGCGAACTTCAAAAAACAATTTTGTTTCATGTTGGTTAAATTCTCAGTGATATTCAGTGATGCTGTCCAAATGAAAAGTACTGGGAGATAGGAACCAGCATGAAATGTTGGGCTGATGCCAAGCCTCCAAACAACCTGCGGATTTTCTCTCCAAAACACCCCCCTGACCTCGTCGACAAAGGCAACGCGGCAACCCACCTGACTGGAGAATCGCCCGGGAGGGGGGTCAAAGTTCATCTGGGGCGACATTTTATGACCGATGCCTAAAATAGGAGCTGGAGTCAACCAAATCTTGTCCGATTGCTGTGACTTGAAACCTTTACCCACTTCAGTGGGTAAGGCCGCAGCGATGGATTTACTGAGTCCACTGTCCGCAAATCAAACCCACACGCGCGCACACACACGTACAAAAAAAGAAAACACACTAATTACAGTCACTACACATACTGCAACCCTGCAGAGTTCAAACATCACCCCTTTCTTGGAGTTGTTGTTCTGGTTGTCTTCAGAACCTCGGCCAGGTGGATCAAAAGTGCAACCCAAAGGTCTATTGCAAAGGGATACAAAACAGCCGACATCATGACGGTTCCAGAAGCGGACAACACAGCCTCCTCTGCTTTCGCGAAACTTCCGCTGAACCAACTAGACACATCCAAATCTGCACCTGCTAAAATAAATTGATGTATGATTGAAATAAAAGGGTGGGCGCAACTGAAATCTGACCACCACAGCCGTTGCATCGAAAAACTGGGAGTTAAATGCAGGCAGCGCTTCGGCCTGTTTTTTTATTCGCAATTAAGAAGCCACAACTATTTTGGAGCCAACTCATGGGAAAATTGGCAAGCAAGGAAGCAGATTGCCAGTTGAACAGTCCTCCTCTCCTGGAAGCATAATGCGATGTTGGCACTGTGCAGGAGAGTGGGCTTACTGGGATTTATTCATTATTGTAAGTATATTGTAAGTATATTGTAAGTATATTGTAAGTTTATAAGAGTACTAAAGAGAATTTCGAACATGTTTGAACATCATGTTTTACCTGTTCAGCTAGCACAAGCGATCAATTCATACATCCACTGTAGCAGATGTAGCAAAGGTAAAACGCCGCCAAAGCTTCAAAGCCCTGTCAACTTGTTTTGCAAGGAACCTCCGACAGTTGGCGGCAATGTTGCTGTCATGAAGTTGGTCACACCGGTCAGAGCTGGAGTTTCAGCGTCATATTTTATACATACTTGAACGATCTTGAACGTCGCGTTGTTAGGTATAGATCAACTTGATCCAAAAACCCTCCAAGGCTGCCACAAGATCTGTCATTAGGATGCGAAAGGCAATATTTATTATATTCATTCACATGCTCGTTCTGAATGGTACTTTGCCCGCAAAGCATCTGCCCATGCTTTTTCTTTCGCAGCCTCCGGCTGCAATTGATCCCCTAAGCCATCTGCAACTTACCTCGCTCACGGGGGATGGGTTGTTGAAGACCTTGCTGAAGAACTGGAACCCATTGAGCAACCATAGCTGCCCAAGGAGGGGTGGGGCGCCCGCTTCCTGAAGTGCACGGCCATCGTGTGCAACACACGGGCTGAGTGATGATTTTGAGCCAAATCCACTGTCATTGTGCCCCATGTGAAGCCTGAATTGCGTCTCAATCAAGCATCTTGGGTACAAGAAGGCGCAACTATTGTCGGTGAATCTTTCACAAGCTCTTGCCAAAACATGTTTTCAACCGACAGAGTGCATTGCCGGCACTGTTGCATCCGAGTGCCGCACTAGCTTGACAGGAAGTTGCAGAAAAAATCGCAAAGCATTGCTCATTTCTCCAATTTCTGATAGGAAACAAGTTGAACTTTTCTCAATACAATGTGTAGGATGGCGGTGTGACTTGATTAAAAAAATCACACCCTTGGTCACTAAACATTTGCCTTCTTTTAAGTGCGGGGCAACGCAGGCTACTAGGTAGTTTCAGTGGCATTGCCAAACCACAAAAGAATCAATGGGAAGGTGTATGATACGCTGGGCCTTCACCTTGCAAAGAAAACGCCCAAACCGAACTGCTGCTTTTGGAAATTCCATTTGGGCGCTAATTTCATCGTGTCCTTCGATCATGACTCATGATTTGTGATTTCTGTGATTCGTGATGGCCCCCAAATTGGATGGCCTCCTGTCATGCTTCACTTGAGCACACGCCACCCCGAAAAAGGAAAAAAAAGGCTCTAGCGCAATTGAGATTGAGAAGGGCACAATCAGTTCGCAGCAAGGTCAACAATGCTGGCCGCACCACTTGGAACCAACCCTGTCAAAGGTGTTCTGTGGCACAAGGACGCAACATAGTTTTCTCTCATTGCCCGAACCAAACAACACCCTGGTAAAAGAAGGGAAAGTTCTAACATCCAGGTAAAACCAACAAAAAGACAAGGGAACGACAAGGATGCGATAAATCCTTGCACTATGTTGATCATGTTGGAGACTCCACACCCTCGGGCCCCTCCCTTGGACCATTTCTTTTCCGCCGAACGCTCTCTCCGAGCGGGGTCCAAAAGGGCAGTGTTTCCAGCGCCGGTCACCTTGAACGCCAGAGGTGAGAGTTTGACTCGGTTTGATTCGGTATGAGCCACCTAAGATGGTGGGAACATGCTGGTTTCAACATGTTTCAACAGCCAACTTAATGAAGATCAGAGCATCCCAAACATGGTGGACATCCAAAAAAACACAAATGAAACAGGTGAAACATAAGAACCCCGAGAAAATCCCAGGCAATCGGATAATATCGGATAATTGATCACCCTTAAACCGGGGTTGAACATCACTAAAGCTTGCAACCACCAACCAAATCTGGATAAACTATAATAATTCACCAGGAGCTTGGCTACTTCGGGATAATTGCCCCAATTCCAACCATCACTACACTATAATCATCTATCATCTACAGTGACACCACAGTGAGGCCGTTATAACATGTTATAACTCAGAATTCATAATAAATAATAATGTAAATTCACTATCCAGGAGCTTGGCTAGTTTGGGTTAGTTGCCTCAATTCCAACCATCACTGCACAATCATCATCTATCATATTCTATTATCTACAGCGACACCACTGCCACAATGAGGCCGTTATAACATGCTGTAATTCAGAATAATAATATAATAGTTATAATAATTCACTATATAACCAGGAGCTTGGGTATTTTGGGTTAGTTGCCCCAATTCCCTCCATCACTACACTATCATCATCTATCATCTACAATGTCACCACAGCGAGGCCATTATAACATGTTCGCTGCAACCCCTACGTTGCTCCGCGTCGGAATCAGAAGTGGCCGAGGTATATATATATAATAGTACATAGCACATATATCATATATTACATCACATATAAGTCAGAGGGGGTGCCAAGTTTTGATCCCTTAGGAAGATAAGTTGATGTAATGATCCCTGTCAACGTATTAGCCAGGGGGGCGGCGGATCATCAACATATAAGTCAGAGAGGGTGGCAAATTTGATCCCTTAGGAAGATAAGTTGATGTAATGATCCCTGTCAACGTAGTAGTCAGAGGGGGTGGCGGATTTTGATCCCTTAACAAGATAAGTTCATGTTATTAGTATCACCAACATATAAGTCAGAGAGGGTGGCAAATTTTGATCCCTTAGGAAGATAAGTTGATGTAATGATCCCTGTCAACGTAGTAGTCAGAGGGGGTGGTGGATTATGTTCCCTCAACAAGAGAAGTTCATATTCTTATTATCATCAACATATAAGTCAGAGGGGGTGGCAAATGTTGATCCCTTAGGAAGATAAGTTGATGTAATGATCCCTGTCAACGTAGTAGTCAGAGGGGGTGGCGGATGTTGATCCCTTAACAAGATCAGTTCATGTTATTAGTATCACCAACATATAAGTCAGAGAGGGGCCAATTGTTGAACCTTAGGAAGATAAGTTGATGTAATGATCCCTGTCAACATATTAGCCAGGGGGGGTGGCGGATTTTGATCCCTCAGCAAGATAAGTTCATGTTCTTATTATCATCAACATATAAGTCAGAGGGGGTGGCAAATTTTGATCCCTTTATGAAGATAAGTTGATGTAATGATCCCTGTCAACATAGTAGTAGTCAGAGGGGTGGCGGAGTTTGATCCCTTAACAAGATCAGTTCATGTTCTTATTATCATCAACATATAAGTCAGAGGGGGTGGCAAATTTGATCCCTTAGGAAGATAAGTTGATGTAATGATCCCTGTCAACGTAGTAGTCAGAGCGGGTGGTGGATTGTGTTCCCTCAACAAGATAAGTTCATGTTCTTATTATCATCAACATATAAGTCAGAGGGGGTGGCAAATTTTGATCCCTTTATGAAGATAAGTTGAGGATATGCATTGGGTCCTTTGGATCATTCCCCCATTTCCTATCAAGCACCAGAAAAATGATGATGATGATGACGATGATGATGATGATGATGATGATGATGATGATTATGATTATGATTATTATGATGATGATGATTATTATTATTATTATGATGATGATTATTATTATTATTATGATGATGATGATTCTCTTGAGGTGTGGAGCAACGTCCGGGTTGGAGGGAACATGTTGTAACTCATCCTGAAACATTCACGGCTGGTCGCCCCGAACCCTCCAAGGTTCACCCTCCAAGACACATCGGTGGCCGCAGCAGCGTTCCCTGCCATGCCAGAGCTCCACCACCAGGACCTGGGACAAAACCCGCCATGTGCCGTCAATTTACCCAACAATCAAACGTGGCAATGGAAGAAATGGCCTATCTAAATCTATCTATAATAGATCTGTGTCTATATAAATTGGGCCATTTAGTATCAATATTAACCTATCTATATATTTCATATGCTTCTCATATGTTTCTCATTAAAAGCTACATTTCGTCAGGGATTTCCCAGCTGCCACGGGCTTGACCGGATGAATGGACGTCATCCCAGCATGACATTGAAGGAATCCCTCCCATTGAAGGTGTTTTTTTATCATGCCATATCCAGCGGAATCAGCCAAGATCAGTACTTAATCCAACTTTTCACCATGGCACATCTGAGCCAATGGGGCTGAATGTAGCTTCGAAAAGCTTGAAGTGGATGTTACATAACTATGTGTTGGGTCAAAACTCAAATGGAGATGTATAAATTATAAAATATATGGATTGAGTGGGTTGCAAGGTGTGACTAGCCACAAATGGAGCAACAACCCGTGTCAACTGATAGTTGTCCCCTAGCTGCATAATGCTGCATATGGGCTGGTGCAAGCCCATATCATCCCATATCATCCCATATCTATCTCTTGGGGCTGATCATTGTAACCGCTTTTTGCTTGGAATCAGCCAGCTACAGCATGCTACACCTGGAGCCGTTCATCTTGGTCGCCCCACTCTGCGGCGACCCTTCTTCACCGGACCAACGCCTCAGGCGAAGGGGGAAACCCCATGGGAAAGTGGTGGAAACTGCCGATGCAAAGTGATGCCGCACCCGGCATCCAAGTTATGTTTGCTGGTTTATAGCCCCCATCAGCTAAAAACTATGATATAATGTGTATATATATTTATTTATGTAAATACGTATGTACGTATGTACGTATGTACGTATGTACGTATGTACGTATGTTATGTAGGTATGTAGGTATGTAGGTATGTAGGTATGTAGGTATGTAGGTATGTAGGTATGTAGGTATGTAGGTATGTAGGTATGTAGGTATGTAGGTATGTGGGTATGTGGGTATGTGGGTATGTGGGTATGTGGGTATGTGGGTACGTGGGTATGTAGGTATGCAGGTATGCAGGTATGCAGGTATGCAGGTATGCAGGTATGCAGGTATGTAGGTAGGTAGGTAGGTAGGTATGTGTGTATGTGTGTATGTGTGTATGTGTGTATGTGTGTATGTGTGTATGTGTGTATGTATGTATGTATGTATGTATGTATTTACACCACTAAAAACCATAAACAACAGGTTTACGTACTAATCACCCATTTATGTTTGTTGGTTAATAGACTTATCCCCCATGGATATATACACACACCATAAACCCCATAGTTCTTGGAGCTATAAACCAACTTCACCAACTCTGGGGCACAATCTTCTCGAACAAAAACAGTCCTTCCTGCAGGCGGGGAACAATGGTACCTTAGGTCCGCGGCAGAGTGGTCAGAACTGCCGACTGAATTTCCCCAAGTGAGATCCCAGGACCGCAGAATGTCACTTCTTCATCCGATCCCCTGGTCATCACCATGTCCGTTGGTATCTGATGCATCTCCATCGCTGTTTGATTCATCCCATGTGTATCCATGTGTGGCAAAACATTACTCACCTGCCAGGTGCCAGTCGAATTTTCCCCACAAACCACCTAGCTATAGCAACTCCCAACAGAAACATATTCCCAGTGAATTTCAAAGGATGAACCCAGTAGATTAAGTAGACCTCCATCCCAAGCGTTTGGCTCCAGCTACTTGTGGCCTTGAAAAACCAAGGCATCTCCTGCTTTGAAGCGATGAGTCAGAAGCCTTCCACCTGGGGTACTGGGAACCCATGGGAACCCTGACTTCAGAAGGCCACAACACAACATATTTATGGATCAAATGAGGAGTCAACTGGCAAAAAAGGTTGGCAAAAATGGATATTGACCCAAAGAAACGGGATAAGAACATATTGATCTTTGCTACCGAGACTGGGCAGAGGTCAAATCGAAAATGGATACATGGACATGGTTCACCTCTTGGCCGAGGCTCTGGGTTCCAATGTTTGAAACCTTCCTCCAGCTTCTGCCTCTTCAAGCATCACCTGAATACTGGGAGACATTCGCAGTGGGAAGAGTGGATCTGAGGGGAAAACTAGAAGCTAGTTTGACACAAGACTGAAACACCAAGTAGCCACGCAAATGCCCCAAAATATGGTTTTAAAGATTTTTAAAGTATCTAACACATCTAGCTGTACCAATTTCTGGTTCAATTGTTGCTCCATCCAGGCTGCATCCACCGTAATGAGGGAGCCCACATCGTAGTGATTTGGACTCGGCAGGGATTGCGATGGGTGCGCGGCGCGCGCCATGGATGATTTTGTAGGAGTTTCCCCCAAAACTACCACGAGTCCACTATCAAATGATAGATGTTTCAATTTTTTCGTGCTCCCTGGGTCCGAAATTTGCTGATCCATGCTGATCCATGTTCCAAAACTTCAAATCTTCAAGTGGAATCCCATCCCAACCGGCCCAACCAACCGGTGCAGCTGGGCATCTCCCGAAGTCCACCCCCTTTGTGCATCTCATGAAACTCCGCCACGCGCACGGCTGGGAGCCCAGAGCGGCCTCAGGGGGATACCTTCAGCAGCCTTGTTCACCCATATTTATGGGTACTTGGGGAGGGTCTGACAGTCTGTATACACGTATGTGCATATATATTTATATATATATGCCAGATATAATTATGCTTATATTTATACAAGTAAGGTGGTAAACCAAATGGTACAGAATCATACAGAACCCCGAACCCCCAATCTCACTTGAAATCGGTTGCATTTGGTACATCAATCCCTGGGCAGAACCCAATCGCATGCTGATCATTACTGATCTATATGCTTGCCTGAAGTGCATCTAACAACCCCCTCACTTTCAAAGGGCTTCCAAGACATATTACCATATATTACCGGTTCCTATTGGTATCACATGGTATCACTATCCGTCACTATCCCCTTTAAGTCAGGATTGAAAGAACGAATTGATGAAACCAGCAGAGTTCCAAGCTTGATTGGCAAATATGCTGCTATGCAAAACCTCACAACCAGAGATGTCAGGTTGGTCCCACAAACTCATTGCAAGCATAGCTTCACATGCTCGCTTATGAAGTAGGGTCAGCAAGTAAACCAAACTTATAGTCATATGACACAGTTAGCTCCGGCTCCAGTTCCACCCCAAAACATGGCCAGCACTGCTGCACTGCTCTCAGAGTGGCCACGCATCAAGTTCCAGCCTGCAGGAGATCGCAACAAATTCTGGACAGTCTGTTTGAAACAAGCTGCCAACTCAATCAACTCATGACCTGTTCCATTTCCAGACCAGAAACAAGAGCTTGCCAGGGTCGCATGGGGAGGGGTCCATTTCCGGATAAACGGGCGCGGTGGCATCAAACTGTCATTCACGGCTGGGCTATCTCCATTTTTCCTTCTGCTGTGCAGGGACATGCTCGGATCACCTGCTGTGTGATGCGCAGAGCACGTATCCAACAACTCTCTATGACGTTGGCGTTCCGGGTCAGTAGGGATGAAGGTCAGGGCAATGCACCTTTGAAACATGTCTAAACAGCCAAACATAGCCAAGCATACAGCTTTCTACAACTGCTTACTATCCACCAGGTGCTGCCCAACAAGGGCCACACCCCATCCTGCACGACCCAGGAGCTTCTTGCGGCTTTCGTGCTCCGCCAGGTGCTTGGAAGCGCTTCAAGAGCGGGGGGATAGATGTTGGTTTTCAAGAACTTAAACATTCAACTTATGGACTGAAAGAACACAACCAGATAATTTCAACACATGAAAAAAGGATGCCCGGCACTTTTGATAGCTGGGTGTGCTTTCCTGCCTTTTGGATCCTTTTGGAATCTTCCAGGCACCTGCCGCCTATGTACAGCGGACGGGCAGGGCGTCAGGGAATCACCCAATCCTCGTCTTGCCCATCATCCTTTGGCCGGTGAAGTTGCTAGTTGGCACATGCCAACCCTACTCGTTTAAGGTCAGAAGCCAAAGAATTGTTCAACTTGCTAAGGACTCCAAATGGGGTGCTTACCTGCCTTACAGCTAGCTGGAAGGTTCTCCAAAGGATCTGCACCGGACGCAAGCCTCCTTGGACTTGTTCACATCGGATCAGGTTGGAATTCCATTAGATATGTTAGACGCGTTTCGCAAGAGAAGAGTAAGTGGAACCAACGGATTCAAGTGACAGGAGCGGACCCCATCAACCCTATCAATAACATGCGGGCATTCAAGTGGCAGACACAAATGGCGTGCGGCGATTTCACCATGGTACCTAGAAGATAATGCAAATAGATTCAATAGATCAATATACAGTAGATGCTTTGGGGATCTTTACTTACGAACATTTGGGATGTTTGCCCATACAAGCATGGATGATCATGGATGATTCAAATAAACAAAAACAACCAAGATTAAAAATCGCCAAATGGATCACCATCATCCCATTCTGAAGAGGGCGGAAAATCGAACGTCACATCTTGAAAAAAACAAACCCACCAGCCCAACATAGCTCCACATTGTCCTAAAATGGGGGTACCCCCAAACCATCCATTTTGAATAGGATTGCCCATTCAAAACCATCCATTCGGGGTACCTCAATGTATGGAACCCCCCCACATCCTACCGTCCCATTATGGCAAGTTACCAGGGTTTGGACTCTCCTTGTATGTCCACCCAGCAGACTGACTTGCTGCGCTGCAGCTTCCAGCTCAGAGGATGCAAAAGCCTGATGATGCACCGCATCCACACCCGGCTGCTTGGGCCTTGTGATGTCAATGCCTCAGCATCGCTGAAAGTCTCGGAATGTGCTGCGAAATCCAGGACTCAAAATGTGCAGCTTCCGTCACAGTTTTGACCGGTGAAGTCTGAGATGCAGCGACACCCCGCAGGTCGTTCACCCCGTCGCAGCTGCTGATTCATCTGCTCCGCATCGCCCGCGGGATACGCGTAGAAGCGGAGCTGTGGACTGATCCAAATCGGCACATCCTGAGGGCCGGAAAGTGGAGGGGTGGAGAGGTGGGGAGCCTGGCCACGTGGTTGACATGTTGGATGTCCAATGTTGTGGATTGTGGTGCTTAATATGATTTATGCATATACATATGTGTATAATTGTGTATATATATATATATATATTATGTGTGTGTGTCATATCCTTGTCCGGTGTTTCTCAAAATTTGGAATGCAGAGACTACTCCGCTCTTACAAGACATCCCACAACTAAGACAAGGTGAGCTGGTAGGCTGGTAGATGTTGAGACCCCAAATGGAAAAACAACAAACTTGCCTCAAGACATATTGCAACTGCATTCTGCCTTTGTATTTGATCTCAGCCTACTCCGATGACAACTATCTCTAGTGCTATGAAAATCAAGGCTCGACATGGCTCTTGACTCATTTTTTTAGTGTTTGGTGAGTTTAGTGACTTCAACATCTTCAACATCATCTTGGTATCCGAACAGTTGGAAACAAATCATCACCGGCAAGCCGCCACGACCCACATCCCGTCCCGCCACCAAGCATCCGTCGGAAGGTGTGTGGCCTGGTGGATGTTCCAGTCATGTTGTTACCCACGTTCACCCTCTGGTAAACTAAAAGTGCGCTATTGAACATGGCAATTTAGTTGGTTGATTTATGATGATTTATTGAAAAACATGTGATTTTCCTTATTATGGTTATGTCATAAATGTGACAGTTTACCAGAGGGCATCCAAGATTCATGACATGACCAGAAGGTATCCTGCTGCTGGAACTGCTGGAATCGTCAATGACAATGACATCTTAAATCTCCAGAGAAACCATCCCTTAAATCCCTCCGTGTCAGAAAGTGTCAAGTTAACCGAAAACAGCCAGTTGTAACACATCCCAACAAAACACACTCAGCACTTGGTTGAAACTCTGTATGAACAAAATACTGTTCATATATGTTCTTTGTCTTTTTCCCCAAACTCACCCTGGCCGTTCTCCAAGTTCTCCAAGTCGCTGTCTCTGCATAGGACAGCCATTTCGATGGCTCGTTGCCCTGGCCGCCCTCCTCCGAAATTCTGGGGCTCCTGGGGGAGTCTCGACTGCAGGTACCCAGGCGCCTCTCGCTGAAGTGCCTCAGCAAGCAGTCAGGAAAACCATGGAAAACCTATAAAAGTTTCAGTGAAGTTACCATATGTTACCATCAACAAAAGGGAAATAATGGGAAATATATGAACAATTTGGGAACGTAACATGAATATATGGGAAAAATATGGGAACATTTGGAAAAAAACGATGGGAAATATAGGGAAATGACCATCTACAACTAAGAAATTGTCTATTGAATTTACTATATCAACAATAGGAGAATCCCCAAACTAGCCATGGAGGTTCCTAGCTGGGAAAATCATCTATACATAATAGGAATCTATAGGTAATCCCCATTGGTCATAACGCCCCCATATCCTCCATGTAGGTGAATGGTAAGCTTCGCTTGGCATCAGATCGCAATTATGAATCATTCAAAACCGTAAATACGTCTAGGGGACCCAACAAATCATCAACGGCCAATGCCAACCCTTTACTAGACAATATTACTTGATGGATCTCGATGGAAACATGTGGGGATGATTCTCATAACACGTGTAAGTCACCAATGTTATGCAAGTCAACAATGAATAATTCACCATAAATCATGTTATTTTCCATAGCAAGCGGTTAAATTAATTGCCAAAGGATAGTCATCGTCATCCTAATAATTCTAGTTATATCCCATAAAGCGGTTGGTTGTATCGGTTAGTTGTACCCCCATTGAATCCCAGAAGATCACCATGTTCAATGGTTAAAATCCCGTTGAATCACCATAAAACCCTATGTTTTCCCATGACCCCCCATTAAGTCACCATGCACGTCGCTCAACTCACCAAGTCTCCGTAGCTGACGACAGATCCGCACCTCGCGCTGCAGCGTGGCAACCCAGGTATCTTCACCTAGCGAGGAGCAGCGCGGAGAAAACCAGCTGGTTTCACCAGTGCAATGGCCATCTTTTCTGAGGATTCTGAGGAGTTATGTTGATGATTTTTTAATATGATCCATAATTATATTTTATTCATTCTTTGAGGATTTATTTTGATATATTTTGATTATTATTTCCATATGTTGACAAAAACTGAGTCTGGGCAATTCGGATCAATCCCCTTTTTGGAGGTTCGGTTGCAGCAAATAACTCTGGAGTCTCTGGAGGATGGTTTACCACAAATAAACCAATACGAGATGTCAATTGGAACATCATCCCAGGCAAACTGGATGCAAATGCCTCTTGATATGTATATATGTATATATATAGATTTGTGTATATATATATATAACTATATAATTATATATATATATATCATGGTACTAGATAACTATAAGCAGCTATGCAGCCACATAGCATTTGGTATAGCCTATGGCAAGACATCATCTCCCAGTGGCACCTAGGCTGGGTTCCGGCGTCGAAGCAGCGCCTGTGGCTTGGTCCCCCGAAACTTGTGTAGCGACCGTCGAAGCAGCTCAACGTATCTTGATATGCGCAGATGCCCTAATACACAGTATACATATACAATTACATTTATAGTCAAGTATAATCATATATAGATATACATATAATTATACATATATATATATGTGATATATGTATAGTAAACCCCAGAAAATGATAGAAAAGTGAATCTTCACTGGTTGAATGCCGGATTTACCTGTTCTATCTTTTTAGCCAATTACATGGACTCTCCCATCACCATCTACTAAATCTCACCTGCTGTGGTCAGGGAGTAGACAGCCAGCAATCCGGCCCGGGTCGCCACATACCTCAACTCCCAGGACATACTGTGGATGGTTGCGAAATCCTGCACCAAATGCTGGGCAAAATCCCATTATAATCCCCTGATTTGCAGTGGTTCAATCCGTACCGTTTCCAGCTGCTGCAGGACTTCTTCCATGGCCGTGGGCCGTGATATGACGGTCACATATTTTCATGGTGATGACTGTCTAACCTGAGATACACCTTGGAAAAAATCAAGGCGAAGTTCTAGATTCACTGGAAAGATGATATGTCCACTGAAGTCTCATTGATATTAGCCTCAACGTTTACATAACTATGCAAAATCACATTTTTTTCATGGGAAAATCAAGGATTTCTATGGCCAACCCCCCATGATCTGGCTTGGTGTTAAGAATAGCACCTACACATTGTGCCAATTAAATCATTTGGATGTTATATATATATATAAACAATCCAAATATAAATATGAATAGATGTATCCTCATATGGCCTGTGCAAACACATCCATTTTTACATACATATATATATATACATATATGCATCTCTTCTCTCGTCGGTTTTAGTCATCTATTTTGTTAGCAATCATTCCACATCGCGTGCTTTTAGGGCTCATTCAAGCCAAATCCTTCCAAATCCACTTTGAAACCTACCATCCCAGCACTTTACCAATTGCATTTGACAAGAAGAAGGTTCATTATTAACTATAATATGCACATATATATATACTATATATATACACCTCTTGGAAACAAGAAGCGGTACAACCTCGTTCATCCAATTTTGACACGGCCAAAGTTTGAAGAATTGCACTGTTGCAAAGAATAATAAGTACCCTCCAAACATCTTTTTTCCGCGGATTTCTGCAGGGCATGTTAACCTAGTTTTCCCCGAGTGGTTTTATTGGTTGTGATTTCTTGTAAAAGCCCAGGGTCTCAGGTTTCAACCAGTTCGTTTAACAAAGAGAGAACAGTATAAAATCCCAGCAACATATATATTTCAAGATATACTCTATATATATATATATACATATAGTATATATATAATCAATTATAATCAATGATAATCATATAACATCAGTGATGATGTCCTTTAAACTATCTTTTGGATTCTCCAAATGGGGGTTGCCCCGGGGGTGGCAACCCCATCCCAAGCTCCCAACTTCCAGGGCGCATGCAAGGCCCACTGAGTCCACTGGACGCCCGTGGCCGCGCAGAAGGTGAGATGAAGGCGCACTGGGGCAGAAGACCTTCCTGTAACAGCACCTGGGGCGCACATCTATAATTTATATACATCTGTAATGTATTAACTATGGTATTTATAGATGGTGTTATATTAACTATGTATTAATATAACACCATCTATAAATACCATAGTTAATACATTTTATAATACCATATTTAATACCATATTTAAAACCATATTTAATACCATCAATACCTGTAATCAGAGATAAATTGGAGGTAGATGGTAATCATCAGTGCAATTCCTCATCTCCAGCCGCAAAATATCCATAAACAGGCGGAAAGGTATCGTTGTATCTGCCAAAAAAAAAACCTGGGATTTGATCACTTCTATCCATCAAATTGTGCCCAAAGATGAGGATGTTGCTGGAATTATCACAAATAAAGGGAAGTCTGCCATATTTTATCCATCAAACATGAGGGATCTAGCAGTCAAAGATTGGAACTTAAGCTGCAAATGATGGCTATAAATGAAGTTCAGCCGGCAATCGGGATTAAACCAGCAAGCATGGGACATAAAAACCGTCACTTTTTCTCGTGGTATGATATGGTAATGGAAATGCATATGGGATATGTTTGGGATAGATAGGGAAAGGGCTGGAGGATGGAAGAGAAAGTTGCGACCCGCGAAGCAAACTTCAAGTTTAACAATCAAGTCCCATATTCTCTAATTATGCCCTACAAGTATGCATAACCGGCCCAGGTGAACGTGACATGAAATGATGAATTTGGGTTTAAGGGGGAATACTGGGTTGTACATGTTGTACAAAATGGGTGAGACACTGTGGCAGACTACTGTGCTTACATTCAGATCCACTCAATGGGAAAAACTGGTACCAAGAAACATATCGACATTCCAGCAGTGAAGGGGGGGGGGTAAATGTTGGTGAAATGTTGGTGAAATGTTGGCAAATATTACCAACATGGAGCATGTGGGAGTGGATCATCTTAAACTAATAGAAAATTGGAAACCAATGTTTCACCAGCCACAAAAATATCAGAACCCAAGCAACCAGGTACTACGTAGAAGTGTGGATGTGTCCTGGAAGACTCTACGCAAAACGGCTGGGGAAAATATGAGTGAACCGGAACCGGAACCACTACCAACTCAATGCTCTGCCGACGGCACATATACTCGGATTGAGATGCATGTTTTTAACATGGAGAGTTTTGTCTTGGCATGTGAGCTGTATATTACCATCTGGTCATTAGCCATGGAAAATCACCGTTTCTAATAGGTAAACCATTTATTTCTATGGGCCATCTATACCATGGCTATGTTAGTCATAGCCAGAGGGTATACCCTGCGTTTTTCTTGTCCTGGCTTTAGGGTAAGGGCATGTTTCTGCCGATCATCTCAAATCACTGACCATGGCTAGATCTCAAAACAAGCACCATCGGAGAGGCAAGGCCAACTCAAATCAAGATGTTTGTTTAAAGATCAGCATCAGATGGAATCCTAAAATCCCCTTAAAATTCCCATGTCCAACTTGTTCATCATATGAGTCAAACATAGTCAAACCATTTCCAATCAGAAAAGAATCTCTAAACCGAAACGGAGCCCAGCCCCTTACCGAAAAAAGTGCCGTCAGTTGGCTGATCCCAACCAAACGCGAGTGCACACTTGAAGATTCACCTGGGCTACGGAGCTACGGAGTACCAGGTGAGGGAATCTGGTTGGTGGTTGAGCCTACCCCTCAGAAAAATATGAAAGTCAGTTGGGATTATTCCCAATATATGGAAAAATAAAAAATGTTCCAAACCACCAACCAGGAATGTTTCATGTCTGCGATGAGCTTCGAAATGGAAATGGCTTGAGCTGAAGCACTTCAATGGTCTTAGACTCAGTGCCTATGATTGGAAGATCTGGGAACTTCCATGATTTGAAAACTTTGGAACAGCTCAGGCACCATGGGAACTTCGTTCTCCCAGTTAACAAACGGGCCGCCATGGCAATCCCATCGCCCGAATATCTAGATTACCCCCCTTTAAACCCTAGTATACGGAGGTTTCCTGAAATGGGGGTATCCCCAAATCATCCATTTTAATAGGATTTTCCACTATAAACCATCCATTTTGGGGTCATTTTAATAGGATTTTCCACCATAATCCATCCAGCTATTGGTGTAGCCCCATTGATGGCAACCGATGATGTCATTGGATCTATACATTGGGTCCCACGTCACCCCCAGAACCACTTGCCGTCAGCACGATTTGAGGTGATCGGATCGTGTTTCTGCGCAGAGCTGCATCTCAATGTTTGAGGAGTCATAACATAAATGTTCTTAACCTACATAAGTTACATAAGATACATAAGTGTCCAAAACATAAGTTAGTAAAAAACCTACTTATAGTTACATACTATGTAAGGGTGTCGAACAACTGGGATCTACACCGTGTCCCAAATGCCAGGCTTCAAGGGACATGATTTTCCACGATCTGTGGATCTGGGATGTCAAATTCAGGTTGGTTTTACTGCAACTATGTGCACACACACACACACGCATGTGATCGCATGTGTATATATATATATATATGCGTGCGTGTTTTTGCTATTTATAGTCTATTTATTATGAATTCTCACATCATTGTCTGATATTATCCCATAATATCCGATTCTGATGGAATAAATGGAATATATTGGGACATCAAGAATATTATGTATGACTCATGGAAATTCTCCATGATGACATCCTCCCATAATAACTCATGGAAATTCTCCATGATGACATCCTCCCATAATAATTGCCGCCTATAATGTTGTACTACAATGATCCCATACATAATTCTGTCAGATTTACCCTCTGGCAATCAACCGTAGCAATGGGACATTACAATATATCTATATATAGAATATATTCCCATTAAAACCTCCGATTATAATCATTTGTTTGTAGTGTATTTCCCATTGCTACGATTTTTTCATGACTGGATTTCCCATTTTTTCTATGTTGTTTCTGAAATGATCCCTTGTTGGGTTTCCCAACTCTAGCTAAATATCGAATATGTTCCCAGTATTTCTCAGCTATAACCTTCCATTTATAGTGGATTTCCTTATTTTGCCTAGATTTTCTAATGTTTTTCCCATATTTTTCCATGATTTTCCCGTGAAAAGCCGCCATAGTTCCCCCAAAAGAAGGACGCCGTGGGCAACGTCCACGTCACCGCCCCGGTGCCGGGATCGCCGTAGGCGCCGGGGCCCGGCACATGCCGGGCACCAGGCTCGCGGAGGCGACCCGGCTGCTGACGCACGTGGAAGGCGGGGAGGTTGAAGACCTTGGTTTTTTTTCATCCAATCCATAATTGTTTTGGGTTGACCCTCTGCTTAATCATGGATGGCTGGAAATCCCCCATCTAAAGATGTAAGGGGGTTCACGGAAAGAAAACATATTTCACCAATCAACATTTAGACTTGAGTAATTTTAGACGTGGTGATCCGAAAACAACATGGGTCTTCACTGGGAGGTTTTGTTGGGAAAAATCGAAAATGCCGTTCTTGTGGCCATGTTGGGCACGGAATGAAAACCCTCAAGGTGGAAAAAAACATTCATTTTGAGCCATGAGGAATATGATTTGGAGCAATAGAATTGTTGAGGGCACCGAATCCAATTTTAGGACACACCCAATGTTACTGCTGGATATCTCAGTACATTCCGAGTTACAATCCATCACACATGTATATCCCATTAACCCAACAAACTCTAGCAATTTTCGCGGATATCCATTAGTTGATGTCCCTTTTGCTATCATTGCTTTTCCAGATAAAATAATGATTATCCATGAAAATCTGATGATAATCTGCTGATAATCTGCTGATAATCAGATGATAATCTCATGGATCTGGGAGAATTTCGTTCGATTTTCCACTGCGGAGCCTGGGATGCCCCACATGCGTAGTGCCTTTGGCCGAGGAGACGGCCACGAATTGACTGTCTTCCTGGCGGAGCCAACCGGGCCAACCGAAACTGGCCAAGTGAACGATTTATTGGGGATGTTATTGGGGATTCAATGGGATATTAATAGGATTTAATTGGGATATTATGGGGTATTCATAGGATTTAATTGGGGTTTATTGGGGATCTAATGGAACAGAACTATCCAATGTAGGCTTATAAGTGAACACAACCTGCAGTAAAGATACAACAAACCAACGCAAATCCATGGTTTTCCCGTTCAGGAATGATCAAGAGATCTCTGGATGGCCAACCTGAGATACGCTGCAAACGATCCAGGAAAGGATCCATCCGGACGCATCATGATCCAATGATCCAAGTATCATCAATCATCAGTTTGGACCAAAACAAGGAGAGGGACTAACCCATAATTGGCTTGAAATAAGGGATCCAGATATGATGAATTTGGATCGTCCACATTTTTGGTAGACTTCCCCCAGCTCTCCAAGGCTGACAAAAACGTCCAAGGCGCTGAGACGGCAACGCCACTGATGACCGCTGGAGTGACCCCACGCGATAAGGTGAAGACGTGTTGAAATCGCAGGCTGCCCAGCTGCAAACCATCTTGATCCGCATCCAACAAGGTATCTCCAGTGCCCAACCTGAACAAACCGAGATGACCACAGAGATGATGAAAGCTGGGCAGCGACTTAGCTTAAGGTGTCAGAAAGCAGAATGATAAAAAGCTGGAAAGGCCTTAGATGGACCTGGATTTAGCTAAGCAATCTTGAGATGACTTAGATGGAGTTAGCTTGACAAGCGTGGTGAAACTGATGCTAAAACCTGGCGGAAGAGGAAAACTGATCTTTCCCACTTCCCTTCATCCCATCCACAATCTCCCTATATCTCCCTCATGGGATGAGACCAGCCAGCGGGATCGATGTGCTAATTATACCACCCTACACACATATGTATATATATATATATTTATTTATTTATGTATGTATGTGCATGTGTGTGGAACAGATAGATAGATAGATAGATAGATCGATTGATAGATATGTATATAAACATACGTCTATATATATACACTATCATACACTGTTGCAGTAAAGCTTTGAATTGGTATCAACCTGAAATACCGTTCAACAAATCATGTCTTTATGGGCGTGCTAATTTCTCCATGAATATCCATTTACTGTCAAAACATATTGTTAAGTATTGAAATCTGTCCATTTAGATCCGGATATGTGGGATAATATCATATCACATCACATCAAATCATATCATGAATACATATTCATGTGTATATATACATATATTCACACCTCCACTTAAACGACTTCACCTATCCCCCCCGCTACGGCACCGCCAGGCGGTCCCAGTGGCATGGCGCGATGCACCAGGATCTTATGCCCCAGCGCGCCGCAGGTCACCAGTTGCAGCCCCGAAGGGTCCCAGGTCATGGCTTCAATGGCCTCGCTGTGTTCCTGCGAACGAGGCGGGGAGCCCTAGGGGAAACCGGGGCCCAACCACCGGATGTTGGTCATTGTTGGTTATTGTTGGTTGATATAGGGATATATAATGATATATATATATATAGGGTGAATCTGGATGTGAAATTTGTTTAACTTGGGGGATCTTGGGGGTCAAAAACGGTGATGGAAATCATGAACCTGTTTTGGAACTAGCAAGTGAAAAAGGCTGAAACAGGGACAGCAAGGGGTTAGGAACCAGTTGGCTTTAGCATCTGCAAGTTAAAGCCGGCCATTGTTTGGGCACTTGGGGTTCCCATCGTATAGTGTGAATGGCAGCAATTGTGTACCAAGAAAGGTATAGGAGCCAACATCTTCATCTGGGCACCTCATGTTTCAATAACATATATTTCTCAACATCACATTGTTTGAATAATCAGCATCCTTCAAGCTCATGGGGTCAAACAGCCCATAAGTGGCGGCTTATAACCGGCAACCGATCCTCGAACTGCGAGATGACATTCTGGTTCACCACATCTCCTGAGTTCAGGTGCTGTGAGGGTGATTCGTGAGGTTCCAATCCTCTGTAGTAGGACATCCCCTTCTATACATAGATAAATATGATACATGCCAAGTATTTTAAGTAAGAAGTAAGAACAATAATAGTGCCAATATTGCCACTAAAAGTCAAACATCTGTCTGTCTGGTGTGTAATTTGCCCCCTTCGGGACCGGACGTGTTACACGTGATCAGTTGGACTCCTTACTTGGGCGTATCGGATACCCACTAGCTGACAGCCCAATGCGCGAAGCAAATTGCTGCAGCCCAAAGAAAGAAACAACTCAACAATGACCTGGTGGAAACCTGTAAAAAAAATATGTGGCATGAGACATGACATAGGCTTTCAATTGATTTGAGTAGAGCACAAGGATCATTGCAGCTACGGAAAAAATCCTTGGCGCTGGTTCAATATATTCTATTATATCCCCATTGTGCCTCCACAATAGTTTATTCCATCCAGAAACCCAGCTTCATATTTGGCCCGTACCGATCCCAATACTAATAAGTGGCTGTATTTCTATAGCTATAGGGGGCGCCATATCCCAACTTATATATGTGATTATTACATGTTCATAGCCACTCATGACCACTGGCCTGCACCCTCAAGTAGTGGTTATGACATGTTTTCACCTCGCGCAAAATCAAGTTAGATAGTCGAGTCATATCATGTCATATCCCACCAATCTCATGGATTGGTCTAAGGGAAATCTAAAGGAAAGTTGATTTTCCCATGAAATATGCGGGGGTTCCTATAAGTTGTCCCCTCAACAAATCAAGGATGAGAGTTATACCCCATACAAAAGAACACATTAAAAATAAAAATAAAATAATTAAACCCCATGAAATCCCACAAAACATAACTAATGTGGGTAAACAATGTCATAAACCACACATTTGGGAATGGAAACCATACCACCTATAAAAATGAAAATTCATTGGGGATGCTTTATGGCATTGTTTCACCCACATTAATGGGAATAACCATTATTAAACCACTATTAAATCTGGAAATAACAAATCAAGTTGGATAGTTATATCCCATTAAGTCCCATAAAATTTCATTAAACCCCATGAAATCCCATTAAACATCACTAAACCCAACTTCCAGCGTCTCACTGCAATGCTCCCAGATCGCACCGCGCCATGGACACCGCTGGGGGGCGCTACAAACGACGCCTCGGGCGACGGCATCAAGACTTGGTCCAAGGTGCGTTGTCCTTGGCGCAGCTGTTGGATAGGGTAAACGAAACGAAAACCCGAGGATTTCCGGGGAATTTAAGCCTAAAACCTTGGGAAAAACGTAGGAAGGGGGAAAACCTTGGGAATGTCCGAAAAACTTGGGAAAACAAATTGGGGATTCCTAGAAACTGGCTGATGAAATAGAGGAATTCAAAGGAAAACTGAGGACACAAGAATTCGATCCCGGCAGCTACAACCAAGGGACTTCAGGTTTTTCATTGTAGACCTTTTTTGGTGGGTCTAAGATGGACTTGCCTGGGAGTAAACGTTAGATTTCGTTAAGTGTTCAGACCCTACCCTAGGGTTCTGGATCCAGGCCTCGGCAGGTGTTTCCAGTAGCATGTTAGCTGGCTAGGAACACTTTAGACCCTCAACCGCTAAGAACAGTTTAGACCCTCTGGTCCCTGGTCTCCCTATGTCCCCCCTCAGATTAAACCTCTGTTTTTTCCTCAGTAGGGGCGTCTACTCTACTTTGGGCTATCGCTTGATGGCATTATACTTTCTTCTTACTGCTGCATTTTGAAGACAAACACAGTCTCAAAGTTTCTGCGTCTTGGGGGTTTGTAGGGCCCGTGTCATTTGTGGTTGGCCATGCGCCGTCTCCAATCATTTCTAGCATGCCTCATTTTGATCACCCATCCGTTGGAAGCAGCTAAGGAGGCCTGAGAATCATGTCAAAAGATTCATTTATCTGTGAAACATATGTTTTTTCAAAAGATTGTATTTGAGCAGAGTCTTTCGTGAAGGGCTGGGTAGGGTCTGATGGGTCTATGTTGATATTGCGTAGGTGTTTTGTGGGGAAAGGATGCAATAAGGGATAGGGAAATTCATTCTAGACCCAGTGAATTCCATCAGGTAAATATGTTGTCCTTTCTCTGGGGTCCAACAGATTCATTCAGTTCCACGTAGTTTCTGAAAACATTTGAGAAATTTTATGGATATCTTATGATATATCCTTCTATCGGGTTTCATGTTAAATTTTCCCTCAACTCTGATGGGTCTATGTTGATATTGCGTAGGTGTTTTCCTTGGGAATGGATACAATAAGGGCTAGGGAAATCCATTTTAGACGCAGTGAATTACAGCAGGTAAATATGTTGTCCTTTCTCTGGGGTCCAACAGATTCATTCAGTTCCACGTAGTTTCTGAAAACATTTGAGAAATTTTATGGATATCTTATGATATATCCTTCTATCGGGTTTCATGTTAAATTTTCCCTCAACTCTGATGGGTCTATGTTGATATTGCGTAGGTGTTTTCCTTGGGAATGGATACAATAAGGGCTAGGGAAATCCATTTTAGACGCAGTGAATTACAGCAGGTAAATATGTTGTCCTTTCTCTGGGGTCCAACAGATTCATTCAGTTCCACGTAGTTTCTGAAAACATTTGAGAATTTTTATGGATATCTTATGATATATCCTTCTATCGGGTTTCATGTTAAATTTTCCCTCAACTCTGATGGGTCTATGTTGATATTGCGTAGGTGTTTTCCTGGGGAATGGATACAATAAGGGCTAGGGAAATTCATTTTAGACGCAGTGAATTACAGCAGGTAAATATGTTGTCCTTTCTCTGGGGTCCAACAGATTCATTCAGTTCCATGTAGGTTTCTGAAAACATTGTGGAAATATATGGATATCTTATGATATATCCTTCTATCGGGTTTCATGTCAAATTTTCCCTCAACTCTGATGGGTCTATGTTGATATTGCGTAGGTGTTTTCCTGGGGAATGGATACAATAAGGGCTAGGGAAATCCATTTTAGACGCAGTGAATTACAGCAGGTAAATATGTTGTCCTTTCTCTGGGGTCCAACAGATTCACTCAGTTCCATGTAGGTTTCTGAAAACATTTGTGGAAATATATGGATATCTTATGATATATCCTTCTATCGGGTTTCATGTCAAATTTTCCCTCAACTCTGATGGGTCTATGTTGATATTGCGTAGGTGTTTCCTGGGGAATGGATACAATAAGGGCTAGGGAAATCCATTTTAGACGCAGTGAATTACAGCAGGTAAACATGTTGTCCTTTCTCTGGGGTCCAACAGATTCATTCAGTTCCATGTAGGTTTCTGAAAACATGTGTGGAAATATATGGATATCTTATGATACATCCTTCTATCGGGCTTCATGTCAAATTTTCCCTCAACTCTGATGGGTCTATGTTGATATTGCGTAGGTGTTTTCCTGGGAAAGGATGCAATAAGGGCAAGGGAAATCCATTTTAGACCCAGTGAATTACATCAGGTAAATATTTTGTCCTTTCTCTGGGGTCCAACAGATTCACTCAGTCCCAGGTAGTTCTGAAAACATTTGTGGAAGTATATGGATATCTTATAATATATCTTCTACTGGGTTTCATGTTAAATTTTCCCTCAACTCTGATGGGTCTATGTTGATATTGCGTAGGTGTTTTCCTGGGGAATGGATACAATAAGGGCTAGGGAAATCCATTTTAGACGCAGTGAATTACAGCAGGTAAACATGTTGTCCTTTCTCTGGGGTCCAACAGATTCATTCAGTTCCACGTAGTTTCTGAAAACATTTGAGAAATTTTATGGATATCTTATGATATATCCTTCTATCGGGTTTCATGTTAAATTTTCCCTCAACTCTGATGGGTCTATGTTAATATTGCGTAGGTGTTTTCCTTGAGAATGGATACAATAAGGGCTAGGGAAATTCATTTTAGACGCAGTGAATTACAGCAGGTAAACATGTTGTCCTTTCTCTGGGGTCCAACAGATTCATTCAGTTCCATGTAGGTTTCTGAAAACATTTGTGGAAATATATGGATATCTTATGATATATCCTTCTATCGGGTTTCATGTCAAATTTTCCCTCAACTCTGATGGGTCTATGTTGATATTGCGTAGGTGTTTTCCTGGGAAAGGATGCAATAAGGGCAAGGGAAATCCATTTTAGACGCAGTGAATTCCATCAGGTAAGTGAAATAGTTGTGATGACGTGGATTAAAGTAGAGTAGACGTCCCTGCTGCATGTTTGGGCATGTCGCAGCTAGAACCAGGTATTTGACTCATTTGACCCTTCCGAATTCAATCTGAAGCTTTGGAGATTTGGCTGGAAAATCTCCCTGTCCTTCACTGCGAAGGTCCAACATGATCCCATTCAGAGGGTGCGAAGGTCTAACATGATCCCAAAAGGCAAAGGTCTAACATGGTGTTACCAGTCCTTACTTATATATAGTCAAAAGGTCTTAAGTGATCCCGGGCCAAGGTCTAAACTGATCAAAAAACCATTCTGGACCTTGAATTTTTGGACCTGTAGGCAGACCATTCCAGACCCTCTTGTACCTGAGGGTATAGAATTCGTATATATATATATATAGATATATTTTTATATATATAATAAATATATCTATCTATCTATACTCTCTCTCTCTCTCTCTCTCCATCACCATCCGGCAGGTCCAGCTAGGCTGAAGGTGAGAATTTACAGAGCCACAAATGCCAGGAATAAGATGGCGGTGCAAATCAAATGGCGCATGTCAACGAAAACATATACTACTAACTACTAAGTATAGTTTATATGCCAATACCGAGAAGACACACATACTACTAGTTCATCGTGTACTCCGATATTCGGAAAAAAACTCTGCTTGTTCTATCTCCCCCTATCTCCTTGTGACTCAGCCTCTTACTTTCAATATACGATGCGTGTTATTGTAGGGAAATACCATGCGGCAATCTTCATCCCTCTCTCAATATGTTTAAAGTTAAAACAACCTTCCAAACAAAGAAAGAACAGTAAAATTCTACATGCTATTCTATACTACAATATTGATAAGTCTTTTGGAGCACACACGCACACACACACACATATATATATATTATACACTTTGTGCAGTAAAAGTATACACATATACATATTTATATTTTATATATGCATGTATGTGTATATATACATATATATACACACGTATACAGATAAAAACAAAGAATTTATCATACAATGATGCGTCTCACGGCTTAGCCCGAATTTCCGGTTTTACCCCATAGTACCCCACAGCCACGAGCCTCAAAAAAAAACAAAAAGCAAAGGCTCCCACTTGTCCCAAATACTGCAAGCCATCTTTCAGCTGTCGACTCAACCCACCTCCAGCACCTTCGCCGGGCCGAAACTGTTTCGCCGCAACAGTGAGCCGTGAACCAATCCGAACTGGAATGCCAAAATGTACAAGCACCTGGAAAAATAGGCTAGAATATCCATAATTCAGAACTGCTGCATACTTTACCAATTACTTGGAGGGTCCCTCAAAGACTTGTTTATCATTTGGTTCATTCTGCTCGGCGTAACATGTTTCATATTTTTCACACTTGGAAGATAGATCAATGTTCAGGATGTTTGTTGATGTTTCACATGGTTTTGTCACCAAGAACCATGGCTTCACAGAGCACAATGATCTTTTGGTTTCACCAAAGCCCAGGAACGTGGCTGGCTCTCCCAGCTGCCATCGCTCTTTTCGTGCGGAGGAATGTTATAGGCCAACCAGCGCTGGCCCAAGGCGTAGGTGGGCCCCATCGCTCCATGGCATTGGACGCCTTGAGAAGGATAGCCACCCCAGTTATGTTTCTTGGTTTGTAAACCCCATGAACTATAGTTGGTTATAAGATGTTATAACATGTTATAAAATGTTAACCCCGGTTATGGTTCGTTTGTTGGTTGTAAGAGCTTATAAGTTTCCGTAAGGCATATTGGACTTATGCTCCCAACTTATCCCAACTTAGCTCTCATAAACGGCGGTCCGCCTCTGGGAATGAGATCATGATTGGTTCAAGGGAATAGGCTAACCTTGTGTCGGCGCCTTGTGGGCTTATCTTAGAAAATTGGAATCTTGAAAAAATGCAGTAAACAAATTGATCTTAAAAATGCAAACAAAAAGCAACTGCGGAAAGAACATGCAATAAAAAAGGGAAATCACAAATGCACAAAAATGCAAATGCAAAAAAAGGAATGCACAACAAATAGAAATAACCAAAATATACTGTAAGTTCAATAACGCAAATGCAGAAAATGCTTTTTGCCACCCGCTTGATTCACATTTGGGGGGCGTGCAGGATTTGCAGTCTCGGTTGCCTGGCTCTCATGCATTCCGGTTCTTGAATTTGCCTCACATGCAATATGTGCAAGAATGAGTTTCAGTTCGGTTTAGGTTTTTGTCCTTGAATGGGCACATAGATTTTCAGGAAATGGTTTCTGGTTTGCACAGCCCCCCAGCCCAAGTCCCAGACGCTGCTTTTCGGGAAAGTGGGGGCCCATTTCCCAGGGGATGACCCATTTGCATTTGTTTTGTTTTTTTGCGGTTTTTTTTTTTGTACTTTTCTTTTGCTCTTTTTTTTGCTTTTTACCTCAGTTTTTCCCCGATTTCTCATTGAGGTTGCAAAACGCGCGCTATTTGAATTTCAAAAAAGCAGCCACTTGCAGCCACTTGCAGCCACTCGAGTGGCCGCAAGTGGCCGCAAGTGGCCGCTAGGGCCTGGCAGCCACTTGCAGCCACTCGCAGCCACTCGCAGCCACTCGCAGCCACTCGCAGCCACTCGAGTGGCCGCAAGTGGCCGCAAGTGGCCGCTGGGGGTCTCTAGAACAAGTGCTGGCAGCCACTTGCAGCCACTCGCAGCCACTCGCAGCCACTCGCAGACGCTTGCAGCCACTTGCAGCCACTTGCAGCCACTCGAGTGGCCGCAAGTGGCCGCAAGTGGCCGCTAGGGGGCCGCAAGTGGCCGCTAGGAGTCTCTAGAACAACTGCATGGCAGCCACTTGCAGCCACTCGAGTGGCCGCAAGTGGCCGCAAGTGGCCGCTAGGAGTCTCTAGAACAACTGCATGGCAGCCACTTGCAGCCACTTGCAGCCACTCGAGTGGCCGCAAGTGGCCGCGAGTGGCTGCGAGTGGCCGCAGGCAGCTGTCGGAGCAAGTGGCTGCAAGTGTCCGCAAGTGGCTGCTTGGATTGCAAACCCCTGTCCGGAGGGCCACGTTCCTCAAAACTTGAAAAAAATCAATTTTCCTGCAAACAGGATTTTTTTCAAGTTTGCCTTGCAACATCTAAAGGAAGGCAGTAACGCAAAAGGAGGCCAGAGGTGAAACGAAAGGAAGACGTTAACGCAAAAGAAAGACCAGAGGTGAAACGAAAGGAAGACGTTAACGCAAAAGGAAGGCCAGAGGTGAAACGAAAGGACGACAGTAACGCAAAAAAAAGGCACCAGGTGAAACGAAAGGAAGACAGTAACGCAAAAAAAAAAGGCACCAGGTGAAACGAAAGGAAGGCGGTAACGCAAAAAAAAGACCAGAGGTGAAACGAAAGGAAGGCGGTAACGCAAAAGAAAGGCCAGAGGTGAAACGAAAGGAAAGCGGTAACGCAAAGAAAGACCAGAGGTGAAACGAAAGGAAACCGGTAACGCAAAAGAAAGGCCAGAGGTGAAACGAAAGGAAGACGTTAACGCAAAAGAAAGACCAGAGGTGAAACGAAAGGAAACCGGTAACGCAAAAAAAAAGACCAGAGGTGAAACGAAAGGAAGGCGGTAACGCAAAAGAAAGGCACCAGGTGAAACGAAAGGAAGACGTTAACGCAAAAGAAAGACCAGAGGTGAAACGAAAGGAAACCGGTAACGCAAAGAAAGACCAGAGGTGAAACGAAAGGAAAGCGGTAACGCGAAAGAAAGGCCAGAGGTGAAACGAAAGGAAACCGGTAATGCAAAAAAAAAGACCAGAGGTGAAACGAAAGGAAGGCGGTAACGCAAAAGAAAGGCCAGAGGTGAAACGAAAGGAAAGCGGTAACGCAGAGAAAGACCAGAGGTGAAACGAAAGGAAACCGGTAACGCAAAAAAAAAGACCAGAGGTGAAACGAAAGGAAGGCGGTAACGCAAAAGAAAGGCCAGAGGTGAAACGAAAGGAAGACGTTAACGCAAAAGAAAGACCAGAGGGGAAACGAAAGGAAACCGGTAACGCAAAGAAAGACCAGAGGTGAAACGAAAGGAAAGCGGTAACGCGAAAGAAAGGCCAGAGGTGAAACGAAAGGAAGACGTTAACGCAAAAGAAAGACCAGAGGTGAAACGAAAGGAAGACAGTAACGCAAAAAAAGGCACCAGGTGAAACGAAAGGAAGGCGGTAACGCAAAAAGAAGACCAGAGGTGAAACGAAAGGAAGGCAGTAACGCAAAAGAAAGGCCAGAGGTGAAACGAAAGGAAGACGTTAACGCAAAAGAAAGACCAGAGGTGAAACGAAAGGAAGACGGTAGCGCAAAAGGAAGGCCAGAGGTGAAACGAAAGGAAGACGGTAACGTAAAAAAAGGCCAGAGGTGAAACGAAAGGAAGACGGTAACGCAAAAAAAAAGACCAGAGGTGAAACGAAAGGAAAGCGGTAACGCAACAGATAGGCCAGAGGTGAAACGAAAGGAAGACGGTAACGCAAAAAAAAGGCACCAGGTGAAATGAAAGGAAGACGTTAACGCAAAAGAAAGGCCAGAGGTGAAACGAAAGGAAGACGGTAACGCAAAAAAAAGGCCAGAGGTGAAACGAAAGGAAGACGTTAACGCAAAAGAAAGACCAGAGGTGAAACGAAAGGAAGACGGTAACGCAAAAGGAAGGCCAGAGGTGAAACGAAAGGAAGACGGTAACGTAAAAAAAGGCCAGAGGTGAAACGAAAGGAAGACGGTAACGCAAAAAAAAGACCAGAGGTGAAACGAAAGGAAAGCGGTAACGCAACAGATAGGCCAGAGGTGAAACGAAAGGAAGACGGTAACGCAAAAAAAAGGCACCAGGTGAAACGAAAGGAAGACGGTAACGCAAAAAAAAGGCCAGAGGTGAAACGAAAGGAAGACGTTAACGCAAAAAAAAGGCACCAGGTGAAACGAAAGGAAGACGTTAACGCAAAAGAAAGGCCAGAGGTGAAACGAAAGGAAGACGTTAACGCAAAAAAAGACCAGAGGTGAAACGAAAGGAAAGCGGTAACGCAACAGATAGGCCAGAGGTGAAACGAAAGGAAACCGGTAACGCAAAAAAAAGGCACCAGGTGAAACGAAAGGAAGACGTGAACGCAAAAGAAAGGCCAGAGGTGAAACGAAAGGAAGACGGTAACGCAAAAAAAAGGCCAGAGGTGAAACGAAAGGAAGACGTTAACGCAAAAGGAAGACCGGAGGTGAAACGAAAGGAAGACGGTAACGCAAAAGGAAGACCAGAGGTGAAACGAAAGGAAGACGTTAACGCAAAAGGAAGACCGGAGGTGAAACGAAAGGAAGACGTTAACGCAAAAGGAAGGCCAGAGGTGAAACGAAAGGACGACAGTAACGCAAAAAAAAGGCACCAGGTGAAACGAAAGGAAGACGGTAACGCAAAAGAAAGGCCAGAGGTGAAACGAAAGGAAGACGGTAACGCAAAAAAAAGGCCAGAGGTGAAACGAAAGGAAGACGTTAACGCAAAAGGAAGACCGGAGGTGAAACGAAAGGAAGACGGTAACGCAAAAGAAAGACCAGAGGTGAAACGAAAGGAAGACGTTAACGAAAGGAAGACCGGAGGTGAAACGAAAGGAAGACGGTAACGCAAAAGGAAGACCAGAGGTGAAACGAAAGGAAGACGGTAACGCAAAAGGAAGACCAGAGGTGAAACGAAAGGAAGACGTTAACGCAAAAGGAAGACCAGAGGTGAAACGAAAGGAAGACGTTAACGCAAAAGGAAGGCCAGAGGTGAAACGAAAGGACGACAGTAACGCAAAAAAAAGGCACCAGGTGAAACGAAAGGAAGACGGTAACGCAAAAAAAAGGCCAGAGGTGAAACGAAAGGAAAACGTTAACGCAAAGAAAGGCCAGAGGTGAAACGAAAGGAAGACGTTAACGCAAAAGGAAGACCGGAGGTGAAACGAAAGGAAGACGGTAACGCAAAAGAAAGACCAGAGGTGAAACGAAAGGAAGACAGTAACGCAAAAGAAAAAAACAGAGGTGACGAACAAAACATATGGACTTTTTCTTTCCAATGGCTCCGATGGGCCGTATAATGGGCCTCCAATGGCTCCGATGGCCGATCTCGTCGCGGAGCACAGTCCAAGAGTTTAGCTTGAACATGTGCAATGCGGTTGCTTGTTTCATGTGCAATGCCGGTTGCCTTGTTTCATTCAGTTCCCGCCCGGTTTCTTTCATTTTCGACTAGTGTGAGGCAGCCAGTCCTAGCGGTTTGTGCAGGCCGTATAATGATCAGCACTTCCGCTGCCCAGGGTCCTCAAATACATTGGTGATGAAAAACCCATTGGTAGAAGCCCCAAGAAATACAGAATTAGAATGCATTCGATAGGATTAGAATAATATGGTCTAATGAAGTTTACTGTTGATATACATATTTGGGATTGTTGTAAATTGTTGTGTTTTCCCTACCAGCGCCGGAACTTCTACGGGAAGTTCCAAGCGGAGAAACAACTTGTTTCGGCTGTGGCTTGCACGGGAACCAACGCTGTTCAAAGTTTGCTTGGTGGTGACACAGGCATTGTCTTGACGATTTTTGGGCTTAAGACTACACAAGCGGGTAGGTGCAGCAAAGTTAATGTGGATTGAAGACCGAT